CGTGAATTATTGTATATTTTAAAATGGCCATAACTCCGTAAATAATGAGTTTTCAGCGTTTTTAGCTATTATTTGTGATCACCTTTCCAGCGTGAATTATTGCATATTTTAAAATGGTCATAACTCCTTAAATAATGAGTTTTCGGCGTTTTTAGGTATTATTTGTGATCACTTATTTAAGCGTGAATTATAACATATTTTAAAATGGCCATAACTCCGTAAATAATGAGTTTTCTGCGTTTTTAGCTATTATTTGTGATCACTTTTTTAAGCGTGAATTATTGCATATTTTAAAATGGCCATAACTTTGTAAATAATGAGTTTTCGGCGTTTTTAGCTATTAGTTGTGATCACTTTTTGAAGCGTGAATTATATCATATTTTAAAATGACCATAACTCCTTCAATAATGAGTTTTCGGCGTTTTTAGCTATTATTTGAGATCACATTTTTAAGCGTGAATTGTTGCATATTTTAAAATGACCATAACTCCTTCAATAATGAGTTTTCGGCGTTTTTAGCTATTATTTGTGATCACTTTTTTAAGCGTGAATTATTGCACATTTTAAAATGGCCATAACTCCTTAAATAATGATTTTTCGGCGTTTTTAGCTATTATTTGTGATCACTTTTTTAAGCGTGAATTATTGCATATTTTAAAATGGCCATAACTCCGTAAAAAATGAGTTTTCGGCGTTTTTAGCTATTATTTGTGATCACTTATTTAAGCGTGAATTATAACATATTTTAAAATGGCCATAACTCCTTAAATAATGAGTTTTCGGTGTTTTTAGCTATTATTTGTGATCACTTTTATAAGCGTGAATTATAACATATTTTAAAATGGCCATAACTCCTTTAATATTGAGTTTTCAGCGTTTTTAGCTATTATTTGTGATCACCTTTCCAGCGTGAATTATTGCATATTTTAAAATGGTCATAACTCCTTAAATATTGAGTTTTCGGCGTTTTTAGCTATTATTTGTGATCACTTTTTTAGGCGTGAATTATTGCATATTTTAAAATGGCCATAACTCCTTAAATAATGAGTTTTCGGCGTTTTTAGCTATTATTTGTGATCACTTTTTTAAGCGTGAATTATTGCACATTTTAAAATGGCCATAACTCCTTAAATAATGATTTTTCGGCGTTTTTAGCTATTATTTGTGATCACTTTTTTAAGCGTGAATTATTGCATATTTTAAAATGGCCATAACTCCGTAAAAAATGAGTTTTCGGCGTTTTTAGCTATTATTTGTGATCACTTTTTTAAGCGTGAATTATTGCATATTTTAAAATGGCCATAACTCCTTAAATAATGAGTTTTCGGCGTTTTTAGCTATTATTTGTGATCATTTTTTTAAGCATGAATTATAGCATATTTTAAAATGGCCATAACTCCTTCAATAATGAGTTTTCGGCGTTTTTAGCTATTATTTGTGATCACTTTTTTAAGCGTGAATTATAGCGTATTTTAAAATGGCCATAACTCCTTAAATAATGAGTTTTCGGCGTTTTTAGCTATTATTTGTGATCACTTTTTTAAGCGTGAATTATTGCATATTTTAAAATGGCAATAACTCCTTAAATAATGAGTTTTCGGCATTTTTAGCTATTATTTGTGATCACTTTTTTAAGCGTGAATTATTGCATATTTTAAAATGGCCATAAATCCTTAAATATTGAGTTTTCGGTGTTTTTAGCTATTATTGGTGATCACTTTTTTAAGCGTGAATTGTTGCACATTTTAAAATGGCCATAACTCCTTAAATAATGAGTTTTCGGCATTTTTAGCTATTATTTATGATCACTTTTTTAAGCGTGAATTATTGGATATTTCAAAATGGCCATAGCTGCTTAAATATTGAGTTTTCGGCATTTTTAGCTATTATTTGTGATCACTTTTTTAAGCGTGAATTATTGCATATTTTAAAATGGCCATAAATCCTTAAATATAGAGTTTTCTTCGTTTTTAGCTATTATTTGTGATCACTTCTTTAAGCGTGAATTATTGGATATTTTAAAATGACCATAACTCCTTAAATATTGAGTTTTTGGCGTTTTTAGCTATTATTTGTGATCACTTTTATTAAGCGTGAATCATTGCATATTTTAAAATGGCCATAACTCCTTAAATATTGAGTTTTCGGCGTTTTTAGCTATTATTTTTTATCACCTTTTTAGGCGTGAATTATTGCATATTTTAAAATGGCCATAACTCCTTAAATATTGAATTTTCGGTGTTTTTAGCTGTTACTTGTGATCACTTTTTAAGCGTGAATTATTGCATATTTTAAAATGGCCATAACTCCTTAAATATTGAGTTTTCGGCGTTTTTAGCTATTATTTGTGATCACTTTTTTAAGCGTGAATTATTGCATATTTTAAAATGGTCATAACTCCTTAAATATTGAGTTTTCGGCGTTTTTAGCTATTATTTGTGATCACTTTTTTAAGCGTGAATTATAGCATATTTTAAAATGGCCATAACTCCTTAAATATTGAGTTTTCGGCGTTTTTAGCTATTATTTGTGATCACTTCTTTAAGCGTGAATTATTGGATATTTTAAAATGACCATAACTCCTTAAATATTGAGTTTTTGGCGTTTTTAGCTATTATTTGTGATCACTTTTTTAAGCGTGAATTATTGCATATTTTAAAATTGCCATATCTCCTTAAGTAATGAGTTTTCGGCGTTTTTAGCTATTATTTTTGATCACTTTTTTAGGCGTGAATTATTGCATATTTTAAAATGGCCATAACTCCTTAAATATTGAATTTTCGGTGTTTTTAGCTATTACTTGTGATCACTTTTTAAGCGTGAATTATTGCATATTTTAAAATGGCCATAACTCCTTAAATATTGAGTTTTCGGCGTTTTTAGCTATTATTTGTGATCACTTTTTTAAGCGTGAATTATTGCATATTTTAAAATGGCCATAAATCCTTAAATATAGAGTTTTCGGCGTTTTTAGCTATTATTTGTGATCACTTTTTTAAGCGTGAATTATTGGATATTTTGAAATGGCCATAACTCCTTAAATATTGAGTTTTTGGCGTTTTTAGCTATTATTTGTGATCACTTTTTTAAGCGTGAATTATAGCATATTTTAAAATGGCCATAAATCCTTAAATATAGAGTTTTCGGCGTTTTTAGCTATTATTTGTGATCACTTTTTTAAGCGTGAATTATTGGATATTTTGAAATGGCCATAACTCCTTAAATATTGAGTTTTTGGCGTTTTTAGCTATTATTTGTGATCACTTTTTTAAGCGTGAATTATTGGATATTTTGAAATGGCCATAACTCCTTAAATATTGAGTTTTTGGCGTTTTTAGCTATTATTTGTGATCACTTTTTTAAGCGTGAATTATAGCGTATTTTAAAATGGCCATAACTCCTTAAATAATGAGTTTTCGGCATTTTTAGCTATTATTTATGATCACTTTTTTAAGCGTGAATTATCTCATATTTTAAAATGGCCATAGCTGCTTAAATATTGAGTTTTCGGCGTTTTTAGCTATTATTTGTGATCACTTCCTTAAGCGTGAATTATTGGGTATTTTAAAATGGCCATAACTCCTTAAATATTGAGCTTTCGGCGTTTTTAGCGATTATATGTGATCACTTTTTTAAGGGTGAATTATTGCATATTTTAAAAATGAATTAATCCTTAAATATTGAGTTTTCGGCGTTTTTATCTATTATTTGTGATCACTTTTTTAAGCGTGAATTATTGCATATTTTAAAATGACCATAACTTCTTAAATATTGAGTTTTCGACGTTTTTAGCTATTATTTGTTATCACTTTTTAAGCGCGAACTTTTGCATATTTTGAAGTGGCCATAACTCCTTAAATATTGAGTTTTCGGCGTTTTTAGCTATTATTTGTGATCACTTGTTGAAGGGTTCATTATTTAATATTTTGCAATGGCCATAACTCCTAAAGTATTGAGTTTTCGGCGTTTTTAGTATATTTTCAATTGCAAAGTGGTGTAGGGTACAGTGTGAGATGAAAAAGCTGCAACCAACTTTAGACTGCTGACATTTCTAAGCCACTTGTCCGACAGCTGTTAAAATTATTCCAGTAACAGCTCATTACATTATTTACAAGCGTACAAAAGAATTCAGGTGAGACTTTTTCAAAAAAAAAATTATTCGTGATGGAATTCAAGCGTGATAGTATGATTTCTATATATTTGGCTTGAAAACCACAAGTGGCTATCGTTAGAGCACTCCAGCATTTAAATGTGAATAAATCTTTTGTGTCTCGTATAATCGCTCGTTACCATGATACTGGTAGCGCAGCCCGGCCTCAATGAAGTGGACGGAAGAAAACTACAACTCAGCAGAAATGGTTCGACAAGTAAAGAAGCGATTCGACAAGTAAAGAGCTAAAGAGTTGCTTCGCATAGCCGAAAGTGGTGAACTGCCGAATTTGGTTGTCCAGCAGTTTGTAAACAAAGAAAATGATCGAAGTCAGCTGAAAATGTGCAACTTAGGTTGGCCAGCAGAACTGAACCGGCGGCCATGGTGGTGGTGTGGGCCGCCATAACAGCCGATGGTCGCTCTCCGCTCATATTAATCTACCGTGGCATCAGAATAAATGCCGAATATTATCGCGAAAATATTCTGGAGGGTGTATTAAAGCCTTGGGCACGCAAACATTTTGGACGCAGAACTTGGACATTCCAACAGGAATAATATTAAAAATATTTCGATATAATCTCGCAGAGCGCTCACAATTCACAGTATCTATGAAGAAGTACGGCCCAATGGTGCCAACAAAACTTTGGATGTTTTGTAGCTTTTGCAATGCTTCTGGCTGATCTTTACTCCAAAATCGGCAATTCTGCTTAGTAACAGCCCATTGAGCCAAATGAGCTCCGTCGCTGAACACAAGAGGCGTACGATTAATGTTCATTGTTTGCAAGGTTTGTTCGTTTGTAAGACGATTTTTGGTTTAATTTTAGATATTGGCCTTTTATAATTTATATAGTTATTGTATATTTTTTTATTTTTGTTTTTAAAAATATATTTTTTATGTTATATAGAATACAATTCTCAAAAATCACAGGTCATTTAATGCACGTCCATCTTTGATTCATTCAATGGTGTTTTACTTTTTGCAGCATTCATCCTTGGAGCCAGTTTTACAGGGGCAATGGCAGTGCTGGTCACAGGGACAACTGTCGCCACACTTTTGGGCATTGCATTTGCAATCTGCAAGAAAAATATTTAATTACAACCAGGACACTGCTTTATTGTATTCCACCATCGACTTACCATTACCGCATCCTTTGCAAGGCATTTTGCTTTTAGATGTAATTTTACTTTTTTCAAAAAATTAACTTTTGTTTGATATTTTCAAACTTTGATTGATATCCACAACTCCAATGTTGGTCCTCTTATATAGTTAACCGGGTTGGGTATGAATTTTCCACATTTGAGCTGGAGGTGTCGTGTGCACTTGCATTCTGTCAAAAAAAAAATTGTGAAAAATAAAAATTATTTTTCAATTCTTCTGATTTTGTTCGCCGTGTGCACTGACAAGTAGATATTGAAGAACTGCAACAATTTCGAAGAAGAACCGTGTGTATTTTTTGCACTCACTGGTTAGCAATCTCTTTTGCGTCTCCGTTTTCGAATTGAGTAATTTGTTATCGTTCTTTCGATGTTTAACATTGTTGATTCACACTCATTTGCGCCTTTTGTTGTTATCTTTGGGTAAACATTGATAAGCATTGTAGGGCAATTTTATGGAAATAAAGAAAAACAAAAAGTTTAAACAAATAGAGCTTTTAAGAGAAGTATTTTTTCAAACACGATAATTAAAAAGATAATCATGTTGCCTTTTTACTCGATCGAACTACGTGAGGTGGGTGGTGTATTAATTGATAAATTCTACAATGAGAGACTGGAAGCCCTCCCAAAAATATAGCGTCAAAATTGATTTTGAGAGGCAGTAGCTTCCTAACGGCTGTAGCGTTGTTATTTACCCTGAACATACGGGGGCCATACGAAAACGTGGACCGTTGTACCCACTTACAGTCACGTAAACATTTTAGACACAAAATATGTTTGACGTACAAGACAGGAGACTTTTTGACAACACTGATTTAAACAGCTCATGTATGTTTCGAGTTTATTTCACTGTCAAATATCTTCAGTTTGGTCCAGAATTTAGCCATGAATTGTCTTACAAACGTAGCATTTAATTACACCCTCAACCATATGGCTAGAGAGGATGAGATAAAAAAACTGCAACAAATTCAAAAGACAAATTTTACATTTTTTTTTTTTTTAAATTTTATTGAATTAAAGCAAAAAATTACGGAAATAGCATCAAATTTTAGAATAAGTTTAGATTTGTTCGAATTGGTCACCTTTGGCACGAATTATGGCCTTCAAACGGCCAATGAAACCGTCACACGCTAACCGAATGTTGCTCTGCGGTATTTTGGCCCATTCCATGCGAAGCGCTTGCTTGAAGTGATCGACGATAAAATACTTCAGACACAATGGTCCAACGGATTGGTATCCGGAGATTTTGGTTGTGAGGAACCATTTTCATTTTGTAACAATTCTTGAGTGGCGCGTGCTGAGTACGATTGTGCTGAGTCCTGTTGGAATGTCCAAGGGCTGCGGCCAAAATATTTGCGTGCCCAAGGCTTTAATACACCCTCCAGAATATTATCGCGATAATATTCGGCATTTATTCCTATGGCACGGTCGATTAATACGAGCGGAGAGAGACCATCGACCGTTATGGCGGCCCACACCATCACCATGGTTGGCGCTTGAGTTAGAATTAATTATGCCCAACAAATTCCAATTTTTAGACAAATCCGTGATAAAATGTGACCATAACCATCAAAATACCGAATATCGGAAGATACCGTTATATGGAGGCTGTACCAAAGGGTGAACCTATACATACAATATTTCGGCGCACGAACTAGGACCCATTATGACCTACAAATACAAACTTTCAGAAAAATCCGTAAAAAATTGTGGCAAAAATCATCAAAATACCGAATATCGGGATGTACCGTTATATGGGGACTGTACCAAAACGTGGACCGATATGTCTCATTTTCAATACCAACCATCCTAGACATAATACAAATTATTCTGCTAAATTTTGTCGCTCTACGTAAAATTATGTGGGCTGTATCGTGATTTCAACAGACAGATGGACGAACATCGTTAAATCGTCTTAAAATTTAATGCTGATTATGAATATATATACATTACTAGCTGAACCCGGTGCGCGTCGCTACCCCTTTTGATTCTATATGCATTCAAAATTTTATTTACTTTATTTACTTAATTAAAAAAAATATTGCACTACTTTAATATGTTAATAAACAAAGTCATTAAAAAAGCAGTGCATACACGAAGGGTTTGTCCTTTGGATTCATTTATTTCATAGCAAGTACCAAGCGTGCAGAAAACTGCAATTTTTGAAGTTGAATGGCATTTATATTGCAATTAGTGAATTCGATGTAGCAACATAATTCCCCGTAATAAGCGTATTTCAAATAAATTGTTGTGTTGTTTTTTAGTGTTAGCCTAAGGCGTTGTGGGTAAATGGTTCTTATTAAAATCATATCCCAATCTGATCCGATTTAAATATAATTTTAAAAAATTTTCTTTTACACCAAATTCCGCCACAACTTTCATATTTCATTGAAATTGGTGCCTCAAATATGTGAAATCGGCCGGAATATATATAGATATGAGAGCTATATCCAAATCTTAAGTAATTTCCAATAATTTATCACATTTATTATTATAACCGAATTCCGCCACACATTCTGAATTTCATTGGAATCGGTCATATATATCGTGTTTGGTGCATAATATGTATGCAATCGGCCGAAATATATATGTTAGCTATATCCAAACCTCAACTGATTTCAATATAATTTGGCAATTTTTGCTGGTGCCAGATTTTGTCTCTCTCGCTTTGGGTGCATCAAATATGTGAAATCGACTGAGTATATATTTGGGAGCTATAATCACATCTGAGTGTATTTGAATATAATTTGTAAAATTTATTTTTGTACCAAATTTAGCCACTCATGCCGAATTTCGTTGGAATCGGAAATACGTATCGTGTTTTGTGCATCAAATATGTGAAATCGGCGGAAAATTTCATTGGAATCGAACATTCATATCGTGTTTGAGGCATCAAATGAACGAAATCGGTCGAAAATATATATGGAAGCTATATCCAAATCTGAACCGATTTCAATATAATTTGGGAAATCAATTTTTTAGATAAAACCCATCACACGTTTCAAATTTCATTGAAATTTGGGATACATAGCGTGTTTGGTGCATCAAATGCTTGAAATCGGCCGAGAATATATATATGGGAGCTATATCCAAATCTTAACTAATTTCCAATTAATTTATCACATTTATTATTATAACCAAATTCCACCACACATTCTGAATTTCATTGGAATCGGTCATATATATCGTGTTTGGTGCATAATATGTATGCAATCGGCCGAAATATATATGTTAGCTATATCCAAACCTCAACTGATTTCAATATAATTTGGCAATTTTTGCTGGTGCCAGATTTTGTCTCTCTCGCTTTGGGTGCATCAAATATGTGAAATCGACTGAGTATATATTTGGGAGCTATAATCACATCTGAGTGTATTTGAATATAATTTGTAAAATTTATTTTTGTACCAAATTTAGCCACTCATGCCGAATTTCGTTGGAATCGGAAATACGTATCGTGTTTTGTGCATCAAATATGTGAAATCGGCGGAAAATGTATATGGGAGCTATATCCAAATCTGAACCGACTTCAATTTAATTTTACAAATTTTATTTTACATTTTGGCTCCCAATTAAATTTCATTACAATTGGAAATACGTCGTGTTTGGTCCACCAAATACATGAAATCGGCCGAAAATGTATATGGGAGCTATATCCAAATCTGAACCGATTTCAATATAATTTGGGAAATCAATTTTTTAGATAAAATCTATCACACGTTTCAAATTTCATTGAAATTGGGGATACATAGCGTGTTTGGTGCATCAAATGCTTGAAATCGGCCGAAAATATATATGGGAGCTATATCCAAATCTGAACCGATTTCAATATAATTTGACAAATTTATTTTCGGATTTAATCCCGTCACACATTCCAAATTTCATTGGAATCGAACATTCATATTGTGTTTGAGGCATCAAATGAACGAAATCGGTCGAAAATATATATGGGAGCTATATCCAAATCTGAACCGATTACAATATAATTTGGCAAACTTATTTTTGTTCCAAATTCCGTTACGTATTCCAAATTTGGAGACTGTATCTTCAACCAATCAATAGATATGTGCATATAAAATCTAAATTTTTGGGAGGTATCTCCGATTCTGATGCTATATCTCCAGTTCCAAGTAGAAATTCAAAAATGTATATAGCCTATGTTACTTTCAGGCGATGTTGCAGTATATATGGAAATTTTCAGGAAAATCTATTCAGCGGTTTTCGAGTCCATAAATTACAAACAAACAAACAAACAAACATACAAACATTTTCCTCTTTTATAGATATAGATGGGATGTTACAAACGGAATGACAAAGTTAATATACCCTCCTTTCCAAGGTGGAAGGTATAAAAACAAATTAAGTTAGATATTCTTTGGATCGTTGTGGATCTCCTCACCAGTTACTAATACATTACCACTAATTTCCAAAGCTATACCAATTAGTAGACCTTTAGCGAACAACGAGAGAACAGATCTACGGAGAACCCCAATTATGAAGTTTCATCTAATTTGTTTGGAAATTGTGGGAACAAAATGTCAAAGCACTGAGAATCGGGAGGTACCGTTATATTTGGGGGCCATACCAATTAGTAGACCTGCAGCGAATATTTTTTGCAGGGAGAGACCAACCAAGAACACCAAATCTAAAATTCCAACAGATTTGGTTGGGAATTGTAGCTGAAAATTTAAAAATGACCGAAAATCTGGAGGTTCCTTTATATGGGAGCTATACCTAAACATGGACTACTGCAGCCCGTTTTTAATACAAATTAGCCTGCATATAATATAAACCTATGTGCCAAATTTGAATGTCGTAAATTTAATAGTATAGACTGTATCTTGATTTCAACAGACCGACAGACGGTCATCGCTTAATCGCCTTACCCTCCACATTGAAAAGGTATTAGTAACGTCAGCATAAAATTCTAAAACGATTTAACGATGTCCGTTTGTCTGTTGAAATTACGATACAGTCCAAATTATTTGACATAGAGCTTAACATTTTACCAGAACAATTTGTATTGTGTCTAGGATGGTTGGTATTAAAAATGAAATGTATCGGTCCAAGTTTTGGTATAGCCCCCATATAACGGCACCTTTCGAAAATCAATATTTTGGTGATTGTTGCTATATTTTTCCTTTTTCCATGGATTTTTCTGAAAAAATGGTATTTGTAGTTCATGATGGGTTCCAGCTCCAAATGTTCGTATAGCCCCCATATAACGGTACCTCCCGATATTCGGTATTTTGATGATTGTTGCTATATTTTTCCACGGATTTTTCTAAAAAATGGTATTTGTATTTCGTAATGGTATTTGTATTACGGTGGCGAAGCATAGTATATATAGGTCTACGTTTTGGTATAGCCCCTATATAACGGTTCCTTCCGATATTCGATGTCTTGATGATTTTTACCACATTTTGGTTCTAATCGGTTTTAGCTTCGGCAGCAGAACAGTTAATAACTTGGTCTACGTTTTCCTATGATGCACATATAACGGTACCCACCGATATCCGGCATTTTGATAATACTGGCCACATTTTCCCGCAATTTGTTTCCAATTTGGTATTTAAGACCGGCAAAAGATAACAATCCTTGATTGTTTTTATAGTTTCCCCTTTTAGTATGACCCCCATATAACGACCTCACTCACTTGATAGTTTTTTGAAAAGTTTAACTACAACTGTTTAAAATGGAACACGTTTGAATTCAGATACCTCTATATAAAAAAATATTTTCTTCACCCAATGGTGAAGTGCGGCCCGGCCCTACTTTATGTATTTTTACTTGTTTTATTCTGATCAGAAATATATATATACTATATAGGGTCTCCGACGATTAATTCGAGGTGTAGCAAACGGAATGACAATTTTTACATTTTACAAATGTCAGACCACATCAGTTTAGATGTACCCACAACGCGAATACATACACTGGTGGCCAAAACTAAAGCAACTGAAATTACAAGGAGAATGAATGCCCTGTAACTTTTTCAAAAATTAAGAAAATGAGAAAGTTTTTCTTGTTTTAAATTAGGTACTTTATTCACTTTTTAAAAACCTAAAACATAAAACCAAAATTCATTTTTATATAAAAAATAATGTTTGGTAAAGTCAATTAACCCGATTTTGGCTTGGACAAAACAAAAGCAACTCTGTTGTGCATTCATATGACCGCTGCAATTCCAGTTGCTTTAACTGTGATATTTATCGCTTTTTGCTTCCTTCGATAATTTCGCTTGTCATAAATCCTTTTTGAGAAGTTTTTTACAACAGTATGTGTTTTTCTTTTCGTTTTTTAAGTACTGCCCAAAAAAATTTTTAAAATGGCTAAAAGCAAATACAGTACCTGAATAAAACAGCAAATTATCAGTGACTATCAAAACAACATATCACAGAAAATGATTTCCGAGAAATATTTCATAAATATAAATGTGATTTCATAATTATTTCTGTATACTAAGTCTGTTTTTTGAAACTGGATCAGTAGTAACAGTCTATAACGGATGAAGGCCGTGAAAAACTTCAGCCCGTACTGATCCACAAATTGTGAGAGAAATAAAAAACAACTATTTAAGAGTTCTACTGGATTGGTGAGAGAGCAATCATTGGATATAAGCTCGAGATCAGTGCGTAGACGAGTAGTGGCAACTGGTCTGCATGCCCGTAAGACATCAAAAAACCATTCATATCTGAAAAAATCAAAAAGGCTTTCGGAAACGATAATATTAAGTGAAATCAAGCTCAATGGAAAAAACATTATTTCTGGGATGACTCTACGTTTAATATTAAAGGCTCAGACGTGAAAAATTTTACGGTGAGAAGACCAAAAAATGAAGGACTCAAGCCGCAGTGTTGCAAAGGTACAGTGAAGCATGAGGGAGGGTCAAAAATGGCGTGGCGCTGTTTTTCTTTCTATGGACTTGGTCCTATCCATAAAATAAAGGAAGTTGTGGATCGCTTTGTTTACAAAGATGTGTTGGACATCACGTTGTTCACTTACGCTGAGTAAAATATTCGGCTGATATGGGTGTTTCAGCATGACAATGATCCCAAACTTGTATCAAAACTTGTCAAATATTGGCTGCGGGAGTCAAAAATTGATGTTTTGTTATGGCCGGCACAATCAACTGACCTAAACTCCATAGAAAACCTTTGGAGTATCGTAGATAGGAAGATCAAGCGAGATTCGGAAATAAATAAGCACAACATTTTCTAAAGAATTCGGGGTGCCTGGGAAAGCACACCCAAGGATCAAATTGAGCGTGTTATAGATTCAATACCTCGTAGGTGTGCAGCTGCTATCAAAAATAATGGTTATGCTATCGACTACTAGCCAAAATTTAATTATTTTAAAATAAAAAATCAAAAGTTGCTTTAGTTTTGACCAAGCAAAAATTGGGTCATTTTAGTTTTCCACATATTATTTTTCAATCAAAATTATTTTTGTATTTTTATTTTTAGTTTCTTAAAAGTGAATTAAACCCCTCATTTAAAACTGGAAAAATAATTACGATTTGTTTATTTTTGTAAAAGTTACAGGACATTTATTGTCTTTGCGATTTAAGTTGCTTTAGTTTTGGCCACCAGTGTATATGCTTCACTTATTTGATATCGCAATGCCATAATATGCGACGTATAGTATTTCTATTTGATACCCAAGATCACATTCAGTCTCTGTCAAATCAAATAGAAATCGATTGAGATTTAGATGTAGCCTGCATATGTTTTATAATGTTAAACTTATTTTGTATTTTCAAAATAATTTATTGTTGCAGATCATGTAGCGTAAGTTCAACTTTGGGGGCATTCATAGATTTATCACTTCTTGCAGCAATCCTCCTTCTTTCCAGTTTGACAGGGACAACCACAGTACACATCACAGGGGCAGTTTTCGCCACACTTTTCGGCATTGCATCTGCAAACTATTGAAAATGAATTGTTAATTACAAAATAAAAATTTCTATAAAATTGTACAATTGTACTTACCAATACCACAGGATTTGCAAGGCATTTTATTGTTGTCGATTTAATTAAAATTACAAGTAAAAAACTTTGTATTAACTTTTTTGGTTGATTTTTTTCAAATTATGATTGATATTCTCAACTTCAATAGCTGTCTATGTTGTGGGCAATCCGATTCAATGTGAATTTTCCAGATATATTTTTTATGGTGTCGTGTGCAGTTGCATTCTTTGCAGAACTTGTGGAAATTTCAATTCGTTTGTTTTCCTTCACTTCCCCTAACCGAGTGCACTGTTTAGCAGATATTGATGAACTGCAACACTTTCGATGTGAACCATGCACATTTTTGCTCTCCCCAGCAGTAGGCTCTCTCTCTCTCAAATTGGATTTGAGTAAACTTTAATCGCATTTTAAGTGCCCCGTACACGGTCAAAATGCATGACATCAAGATCTTGTATTTGTGCGTGAAGCTTTCAGTGCGCATTGTATCATTGGCAAACGACTTTATGTTTTTCACATTTACCGGCAAGGACCGGTAAACTTGCAACAACTCAAAAAAATTCATGATTCCTGATTCCTAATCCACATACACGTCAACATCGAACGTCATGCACGAAAAAAATCAAAAAATTCTGATTTTGCTTCATGGTTCGATGCGTACATTAACATTTTCACTAACACCACAAAATTGCATGTCATGCATTTTGACCGTGTATGGGCCACTTAAAGTGACTAAAGTTTAATGCAGGCCTAGCTAACTACTACCAATACAAAAAACTTTGATTGTTTATGTTTCACAGACATGAACATCAAGGGAGTAACTCTCCCTCTCTCGGTAGACATTATGTGTGTTAACTCTTTGTAAAAACTAGTAAGTCGACTTTCGATTAATCGACATTTAGTACTCAAATTTCTGAAAGTCGTAGTGGTCAAAACCGATTAATCAACTATTCATAATCGATTGTGCGATTTTGAACTGAATAACTAGATTATTAACACTCATTACTATATATATTGCTATATAAATTGTTGATTCGTTTTTAAGTAATTATACCCTACACCACACTGTGGTCTGGTCCCTATTTTGCATTTGTTTGTAACATGGTGACACTTTCTGAGTCGATTTATGGATGTTCGTCCATCTATGTATTTTTGTAAACAAAGTACAGGTGACATTTACGGCCCGATTGAAATGAAATTTTCTCATATCATTGGTTTTCGACGAACCCTATTGAAATTGTATATAACCGGTCATTATTTAGATATAGTTTTTATATATTATGTCGAATTTGGTGAAAATCAGTTCAGATGTACCTATACCCTTAGTGATATTCGAGAAAAGATATTAAATACAGCTCAAAATACCAAATTTTATCGAGATCGGCTCAAATATATCTATGAAGCTCTCAAATATATCTTCCAAATTCTGGTACATACGACCGAATTCAGGCTAGAAGAGAGTATCAAATTTGGTGAAAATCAGATCAGATGTAACTGTAGCTTTAATATTCTTTTACGATTCTGTATTTAAGTCCCTCACAGGTGTAAAATGTACTCCAAAACAACGATATTTGGTGAAAGTTATCAGAGACAGATAACGATATACATAGTAGCTACAGCAAAATCTGAAACGATCTACCAGTTCAGATTTCAATATAGTTCCATAAATATCTTTATCCGATATTACGTTTATTGTGCACCAAAGTGTAATATCAGCTCGAATAGTTCCGACATATTTCAATCTAAGAGTCAAATTCCCTTTCGATTTCAAATTATCATGTTGTATGATCTACTATACACAAATTCCCTATATAAATCTACTAAATATGCGTAGTGGTGTAGGGTATCATAAAGTCGACTACGTCCCACTTTTGATATTTTTAACCTTTTTTTATTTATTTACTAAATGCATTTTTTGTTTGTTTATTCTTTTGTTTGCAAACATTGATAAGATTTTATTGGATACAAAAGAAACAATAACTACATTAAATAAACAAAGCTTTGATGAGAAATGTACATTTAGTACAAAAATTTGATAAGATAAACATATTATTTGTATACCCTCCACCGCAGTATGGAGGGTATATTAAGTTTGTCATTCCATTTGTAACACTTGGAAATACAAATTTTAGACCCCACAAAGTATATACAGGGTGAGATGAAAAAAACTGCAACCAACTTCAGACCGCTGTGATTTCTAAGCCACTCGTCCGACAGCTATTAAAATTATTTCAGTGACAGCTCATTATATTGTTTACAAGAGTACAAAAGCTTTTTGGTGAGAATTTTCCAGAAAAAAAGTTATTAGTGGTGAACTGCCGAATTTGGTTTTCTCCGATGAGAAAACATTCGTTGTCCAGGCAGTTTTTAAATAAACATAAACAAAACAGTAAGTTTGGCCGGGTCGAACATTGAATACCCTCCACCATTTGGAACGAATTAGAAAATTTTCAAAAAAGTAAATCCATTAAAAATTCTGTTAAAACCTTTAAAATACTTAAAATCGGAAGTTACCGACATATGGGATATATGATATTTTGGACCTATATAGACAAATGTATGTCTGGAGGTAAAGTACTCACAAAGAACTCCTTGCGTATATAGATAATTATCTTGTAAGGGATAAAGTACTCACGAGGTACTCCTTGTGTGGATTTTCAGATAATTTCATTGGAAAATGTGGCTAAAATCATCAAAATCCCGAATATCGGGGGGTACCGTTATATGGATATACGATATTGTGGACCTATAAGAAATACCCTTTCAGGGGGTAAAGTGCTCACAAAGGACTGTTTGTGTAGAATTCTGTTGAAAAGTTTGGCTAAAATCATCAAAATACCGAATATCGGGGGGCGCCGTTATATGGGGGATATACGATATCGTGGACCTATATAGACAATTCTCTTGCAGGGGGTAAAGTACTCACAAAGGACTCCTTGTGTGGATTTTCAGATAATTACATTGGAAAATGTGGCTAAAATCATTAAAATACCGAATACCGACGAAGCTGAAAATGTGCACCTTCGTTTGGCCGCCAGAACTAAAGCGCCGGCCATAGTGATGGTGTGGGCCGCCATAACAGCCGATGGTCGCTCTCCGCTCGTATTAATCGACCGTGGCATCATAATAACTGCCGAATGATATCGCGAAAATAGTCTGGAGGGTGTTTTAAAGCCTTGGGCACACAAACATTTTGGCCTCGGACATTCCAACAGGACTCAGCACCATCGCACTCAGCACACGCCACCCAAGAATGGTTACAAAATGAGGTTGCTCGCTTCATTTCCAGCGCAAAGTTGGCACTAAAAAATACCAAAATGTCGGTCACCTCAAGCAAGCGCTTTGATGATGGATATATTAAAATATATTCTACTTTGCAAGGATTATATGAATCTATAGAATTGAGAAAATAATAATAAAAAATTAATTTTAAAATGGGAAAAAAATAAATTTTCCAAATTTAAATTGTGAAACAAATAAATGTGCAACAGTAAAAATTAAGTTTAATTAATTAATTAAATAATTAAGTTTGTTTTCGGCTTAATTAGCTCGCAGTCCTACTGTGTCGTTTTCTCTTAAAACATGCCTCCAAATGCACCCACAAGATGTGCTCTCTGTATTTAACTGCTACACATTCAAAGTAGAACATTCAAGGTTGAATATTGTCTATTTATAGCAAAAACAGAAAAAAATAATATTTAACAGTAAAATTTTAACTGAATTGGCAAAATAAACAATCTTATATTTAGATGATCCAACTGATAAGATTTTTTTATGCAAATGTAAATATTGGATAAAAAATCGTCTTTGTTGCATCCCAAAAATTTGACTATTCTACGATGCTAAATTTTGTATAAAAGCTGAATGCTAGCCCATAGATGCAATATATTTGAGAATATATTTCAAAGTAAAATACATCTTTCAACCCAATCAAAATAAAAGTAAAGCAAAATGCCCTGTAAAGGATGTGGTAATGGTAAGTGGACAAATATTTGAAATTTTCAATTTAAAGAATTTTAAAACCAATTTTTTTCACGGCTTCAGATTGCAAATGCACTTCCGAGAAGTGCGGCGACAAGTGTGACTGCCCCAAACCATGCAAGTGCATGTGCAAGGATTCGGAACATGCCAAACATGGTCATGGTCATGGCTCCACATGCCATTAGAGCCGAAATTATGCGCAAGGACTTTCGAAACACAATGCATTAACGCACGGTAATGGGACATCATAAATCAGGAGGAGTTAAGACCAGAATCAAAGGCGGAAACCCTAATTAATGGCAATACTATATACATCATTTTACTTATTATTGCAATAATTATATCAACAAATAAATATTAACCAAGACCAAAGATGACCTTTCAAATCCTTGCATTTACAAGACTTTCTTCCCCTTAAATAATACATGCCTGAAATCTTCGCATATCTAGCCAATTAAGAGCGTTTTTGATAAATGCAAAATGGACTATAAAAAGTAAAGGCTATGATTGCTAAGTTGGTTTGTTGATAAATATTGAAGATAAATATATTAGCTCGTTCGGAGGATAGAGAGGAGTATAAATATATTATTTATAAATATATTATTTATAATCGGTAATCAGAAAACCGCTACCCTAGGTCTCTTTGGACCAAATCCGTTTCAGGACATTTGGAGTCGATCTAACGTTGTCCGTCCGTCTGTCTGTCTGACTGGTGTGAACGATAACTCTCGAAGGGAATATCCGATTTGATCCAAACTTGGTACATCGAAATATTATTGTCAAACTTAGATCGAGTTTGGAGATGGGCAATATCGGTCCACTCCTTCTGGTACCTCCCACACAAAATGTCAAAATTTTCAAAGAAAATTATTTACTGCACAGAAAGAGAAAGGATAATCCGGGTTTACTCCAACTTTGCGAATTCTAATATTTGTATCAGTGCTATGTCAGATGTACCTCCCCCACAAAGCGTAAAAATTTGAAATAATTATAACTCTTAAACAAATTAAAAAGCAGTAAGTTCGGCCGGGCCGAACTTTGAATACCTCTACCATTTGGAACGAAGTTGGAAATTTTCAAAAAATAAAATCCGTAAAAAATTCTTTTAAAATCTTAAAAATACCGAATATAGCCCTTATATTGGGGTCTATACAACGAGGACCTACATAGGCATTGCTTGCTATAAGCCATTACCATATTATAAACGGGTATAATGTAGCATATTTTAAGTACCGTATATAGGGAGGTACCGTTATATCGAAGACCTGAAACTGGATGGACAATTTTCTGTCACAGGCCGTAGCATCCATTACGAAATTCAAATACGACATCCCAAACGGTAAATATTGTACCTAATCGTCAAAATACCGAATATAGGGAGGTACTAATATATGGGGGCTGTACGAAGACGTGAACCTGCACAGACAATTTTCTGTCATAAGCTGTAGTATCCATTACGAACTTCAAATGCCATATATCAAACAATTTCGGTGGGTATTGTACCTAAAATCGTCCAAATACCGAATATAGGGAGGTACTGATATTTGTGGCCTATACGAAGACCTGGACCTGCATAGACAATTTTCTGTCATAGATTGTAATTCCCATAACGAACTCTAAATACGTAATTTGAAACAATTCTGGTGAATAATGACGCTAAAATCATCAAAATACCAAATATTGGGAGGTACCGTTATATGAGGGCTATACGAAGACGCGGACCTGCCCAAACAATTTTCTGTCTTAGGGTGTAGTATTCATTTCGAACTTCAAATATTAAATTTGAAACAATTCCGGTGAAAAATGTCGCTAAAATCATCAAATACCGAGTATCGGGAGGTACCGTTATATGGGGACTATACGAAGACGTGGACCTGCACATACAGTTTTCTGTCTAAGGCTGTAGTATCCATTTCGAACTTCAAATACCAAATTTGAAACAAATTCGGTTAACAATGTCCTCAAAATACCGAATATCGGGAGGTACCGTTATATGGGGGCTATATGAAAACGTAGACCTAAACATGTGTGCAAAATTTTAGCCTTCTATCTCAATTCGTTCGACAGATAGCGTGATTACAACATACAGACAGACGGATAGACATGGCTAAATCGGCTTTGAATTTTACGCTGAGTATTTCGAGAAGTTATAAACGGAATGACAAAGATAATATACCCTTCATAGTATGCTGGAGGGTATAACAAAACCCTCAAAGAAGGCCAGATTCACATCCAAATCTTTTCAAATTGCATACATCCAAATATTTTTCCTAACGCAAGATCTGTTGTGAAGATGATATATATCTGCCAAACACTTCTGGTACTTCACCCACAAGGGGTCACAATATCTAATACTTATATCTGTCATAACTTGCAAAACAAGTCGGCGATTCTTCACAACTTGCTATATTTAAAAATTTATCTTCCGATCTGACATCTGATTTGAATATATACTTTATCGAAATTTAAGATTTCGCATAAAATTGGATATAAATGTTCGATTTCCTTCATATTTTGCACATACCAATATTTTTATCGGTATTAGATGAAATATAGAAATGGAATACTTCGGTCCGCTTTATCTGCTACCTAACGAATATTTCCATATTTTCCAAAAATTTGCACATAATTGATATAAAGTATAGGAAGTAGTCGATATAGTCCAAATCTGGCACATTGTAATATTTATATCAGTCTTAGGTCAGACATGAATTGGTCAATATTGGCCAACTGCTTCGGAACCTCCCCCATAACTCAACGCTGGCAGTATACATCTGTCGGAAAAACCGACTGATGCTATTTTACTTGTTTTGTTTTAAGAAGAGTATGCTATTAAATTGCTATTTAATCTTTATTTCAAATCATTTAAGTGACGACATACAGTCAAGATATTTCAAATGTGCACTCCGAGGCATTCATTATTGCTTAGCGGCAGTCTTGCAGGGGCAATTGCAGTTATGGTCACAGGAACACTTGTCACAGCACTTTTGGGCAGTACATTTGCAATCTACAGAAATAAATTACATTTAAATTATTTTTAATTATTATTAGCAATTTATTTTCTCAAGTTGTACGTACCGTTACCACATCCTTTGCAAGGCATTTTGTTGTTGATGTATTTTCAGATTTTTTATTAAAAAAAAAACTTGGGTTTTAAAACTTCTAACTTTTTGATATCTGTTGCAGTTGCAACATGCGCTCCTTATATAGCAATTGCGTATTACCACACTTTCGAATAGTGCCGTGTGCAATTGCACTCATTAAGAGATTTTAGCAAAGGAAAATCGATCAATCTTCTTCAGTTATGTGTACCGTGTGCAATTTTTTTTTTTGTGGATATCTTTAAAGTTTTGCACTCCAAAGCCGAAGTCTTTGTTAGCGATTTACTTGGGTCTCTTATCACTCTGCTGCATTTAGTGTGTGTTTGTTTCGTATTATGTTAAGGAAAATCCATCACAAAGTTCGGGATGCTAATTCCGAATGAAATTTAAATGAAAAGAAAATTGAGATACAGTATGGATTATGGTGGTGGTCATAATTTATTTTTGGTATGAAATAACAAAAAGTTTTGTATGAAATTAAAACAGTCGACTTGCCGACAGTTATATATATTGTAAAGGAAGTTCGGTTTAGCGATGTCCGTCCGTCTATCCGTCTGTGGAAATCACTCTAGGTTCCGAACGAATTGAAGTAGATTGATAAAATTTTGCTCTAATGTATGTTATGTCTGCAGGACTTTTGGTATTGAAAATGGACAATGAAGGTCCACGTATTGGTATAGCCCCCATATAACGGTACCTCCCGATATTCAGTATTTTGATGATTTTAGCGACATTATTCACCGGAATAGTTTCAAATTTGGTATTTAAAGTTCGAAATGGATACTACAGCCTAAGACAAAAATTGTCTGTGCAGGTCCACGTCTTCGTAGAGCCCCCATATAACGGTACCTCCCGATATTCGGTATTTTAATGATTTTAGGGACATATTTCACCAGAATTGTTTCAAATTTAGTATTTAAAGTTCGAAATGGATACTACAGCCTAAGACAGAAAATTGTCTGTACAGGTCCACGTCTTCGTATAGCGCCCATATAACGGTACCTCCCGATATTCGGTATTTTAATGATTTTAGCGATTTTATTCGCCGGAATTGTTTCAAATTTGGTGCAGGTGCACGTCTTCGTAAAGCCACCATATAAAGGTACCTCCCGATATTCGGTATTTTAATGATTTTAGGGACATTTTTTCACCAGAATTGATTCAAATTTGATATTCGAAGTTCGTAATGGATACTACAGCCTATGTCAGAAAATTGTCTGTACAGGTTCACGTTTTCATATAGCCCCCATATAACGGATATGGGGGCTATATGATATTCGGTATTTTGATTTTATCTACATTATAACCGATTTTTTTAAGTTCCGCATTTGAATATTGTAATGGCTTATGACAAATGATACCTACGCAGGTTAATGTCGTCGTATAGACCCTAATAAAATAGCTACATTTGGTATTTTTAAGATTTTAACAGAATTTTTAACGGATTTTTTTGTTTTTGAGAATTGGCAAATTCATTCCAAATGGTGGAGGGTATTCAAAGTTCGACCCGGCCGAACTTACAGCTGTTTTACTTGTTTTTTGTTTTTTCTAAAATATATCTTAATACCAAATATACCATAACCACCTCTATATCTCAATATCAAATATTGAAAACCAAACTTAGTAATATTTAGTACTTTTCATACAAATATAGGACAAATTGGCTATAAAACATATATTATAAGATTATGATGAATTTTCTTAAAAATCATGACGAAAATAAGATGTACATCTACGTTAGAGAGTGATAAGAGACTACTTCGCTCTAAGCAAAACGTTCGCAAAGACATCGGTTGTGGAACGTAAAAATAATGCAATAATGCACACGGTTAAAATAACGAACACTTATCGGTTTTTCACAAAATTCTACAACGCAATTGCAGTGCAATAAAATTGCACACGACACGTATCGAACGAACATATAATGAAAATCTGTTCCTATATAAGAGCTAGTATTTAGAGCAGAAAATAAAAACCAAAGTTTGAATAATATCAAAGTAGTTTTCTATTAAATCCTGAAATAATATCATAAACAAAATGCCTTGCAAAGGATGTGGAAACGGTAAGTAACAAGTGCGAAAATTATTTGAAATAATGATAAAAAATTTTAATTAATTGTTTTTTTCACAGATTGCAAATGCACTGCCCAAAAGTGCTGCGACAGATGTCCCTGCGATCACCATTGTCATTGTCCCTGCAAAACTGCCGCTAAGGAATAGCGCAGAAAAGGAGTTTGAAGTGAAAATGCTATATTAAATTTTCTTTCAGCATAAAATTTATATTGTATTTAAAAATGTTATTTAAATAATATAAAATAAAAAATAAAATAAAATAAAACAACCAAAGAATTAAACAACGGCCGGGCTAAACTTTTAATACCCTCCACCTTAGGATAAAGGAAACATTAGAAGAAATGTGGCAAAAACCATTAAAATGCCGAATATCGGGAGGTACCGCTATATAGGGGCTATACCAAATCGTGGACCTACACATGCAATGTTTCGCCAAAGGAGCTAGAAAACATTATGACCTACAAATACCAATTTTCAGACAAATCCGTGAAAAAAATGTGGCAAAAACCATTAAAATGCCGAATATCGGGAGGTACCGTTATATAGGGGCTATACCAAAACGTGGACCTATAATTACAATGACTCGCCACACGAACTAGGACCCATTATGATCTACAAATACCAATTTTCAGACAAATCCGTAAAAAGTTGTGGCATAAATCATCAAAATACCGAATATAGGGAGGTAGCGTTATATGGGGACTATACCAGAACGTGGACCGTTATATCTCATTTTCAATACCAACCATCCTAGACACAATACAAATTGCTCTGCTTAATTTTGGCGCTCTACGTCAAATAATGTGGGCTGTATCGTGATTTCAACAGATAGACGCACAGACAGACCGAGATCGTGTTATTTTGTGTTCGAAAAAAATTCACAAAAGGCATGGTCCATTTTACAGCTAAGTATAATCCAATGGTCATCAAATATGCTTGACTTCTTTCCTCTTTCAGAAAATGTTTTTTTTTTTTTTTTTTGGTCCATTTGGACCTCTGAATTTAAATCTCCATAACAGTAGGCTTTAATTCTCACCCTAACGCTACCCCATGAAAAAATTCGTGAGGATCGGATGATAATTGCGACCTGTATATAATACCGGTCGTTGGGGGGTGTAGAAAAAAAAAATTACAATTCAAAATTGTAAGTCAAATTGAAAAAATCGCATGCGATAAAAAATATGACAAAAATTGAAAAAAAAAAAAAAATGTAACAAAAAATATTCACTTTTTTATTGGCAGATTTTTACGTGATTTTCTTTGATGTTATCCGTTTCTGGCAAGAGACCATTCCGAATTGATGAGAATTATAAAATGAAATGATCGTGATTACTTGCCAAAGAGTATTTTAATGATTTTAGGGGCATTTTTCACCAGAATTGTTTCAAATTTGATATTTGAAGTTCGTAATGGATACTACAGCCTACGACAGAAAATTGTCTGTACAGGTCCACGTCTTCGTATAGCCCCCGATATTCGGTATTTTGATTTTATCGACATTATAACCGATTTTTTTAAGTTTCGCATTTGAATATTGTAATGGCTCATGACAAATGTTACCCACACAGGTTCATGTCGTCGTATAGACCCTAATAAAATAGCTACATTTGGTATTTTTAATATTTTAACAGAATTTTAACAGATTTTTTTGTTTTTGAGAATTGGCAAATTCATTCCAAATGGTGGAGGGTATTCAAAGTTCGACCCGGCCGTACATACAGCTTTTTTACTTGTTTTTTTTTTTTTTTTTTTTTAAATATATCTAAATGCCAAATATACCATAACCACCTCTATATCTCAGTATTAAATACTGAATATCGAATTTAATAGTATTTAGTACTTTTCATACAAATAGGCTATAAAACATATATTATAACATTATGATGAATTTTCTTAAAGATCATGACGAAAATTAGATGTACATCTACCTTAGAGAGTGATAAGAGACTACTTCGCTCTAAGCAAAACGTTCGCAAAACGTTCGGTTGTGGAACGTAAAAATAATGCAATAATGCACACGGTTAAAATAACGAACACTTATCGGTTTTTCACAAAATTCTACAACGCAATTGCAGTGCAATACAATTGCACACGACACGTATCGAAGCTACATATTATTAAAAATCTATTACTATATAAGAGCTGGTATTTAGAGCAGAAAATAAAAACCAAAGTTTGAATAATATCAAAGTAGTTTTCTATTAAATCCTGAAATAATATCATAAACAAAATGCCTTGCAAAGGATGTGGAAACGGTAAGTAACAAGTGAGAAAATTATTTGAAATAATGATAAAAAATTTTAATTAATTGTTTTTTTCACAGATTGCAAATGCACTGCCCAAAAGTGCTGCGACAGATGTCCCTGCGATCACCATTGTCATTGTCCCTGCAAAACTTCCGCTAAGGAATAGCACAGAAAAGGTGTTTGAAGTGGAAATGCTATATTAAATTTTCTTTGAACTCAAAATGTATATTGTATTTAAAAATGTTATTTAAATAATATAAAATAAAAAATAAAATAAAACAACCAAAGAATTAAGAAACAAGTAAGCAAAGGTTATAGACGTGCGGGGCCTACCATGTGATACCCTACAACACTACAATATGTTGGAAGCCCCCTTATGTTCAAATTCATTTTGGAAGATTTCGATATTGAAATAATGTCATAGAGGCCTGCCCAGATGTTACCCTTATTTACGCATTCCGCCGTGTTGTTATGTATTCGAAAAAAATGCACACTTTTTTATTGGCAGATTTTTATGCGATTTTCTTTGATGTTATCCGTTTCTGGCAAGAGACCATTCCGAATTGATGAGAATTATGAAATGAAATGATCGTGATTATTTGCCAAAGTGATCAGCTGAAAATGTGCACATTCGGTTGGCCACCAGAACTCAAGCGCCGGCCATTGCCGATGGTCGCTCTCCACTCATATTAATCGACCGTGGCATCAGAATAAATGCCGAATATTTAAGCGAAAATATTTTGGAAATATTTGTATTAAAGCCTTGGCCGCGCAAACATTTTGGCCGCAGACCTTGGACATTACAGCAGGAATGAGCATCATCGCACTCAGCACGCACCACCCAAGAATGGTTACAAAATGAGGTTCCTTGCTTCATGTTCAGCGCACAATGGCCACCAAAATCTCCGGATACCAATCCGTTGGACTATTGTTGGACTAAACAAGTAAAAAAGTTGTAAGTTCGGCCGGACCGAACTTTGAATACCCTCCACCATTTGGTACAAATTTGGCAATTTTCAAAAAAAATTAAAGAATCCATTAAAAATTCTGTTAAAATCTTAAAAATACCGAATGTATTGGGATCTATACGACGACGTGGACCTGCATAGGCAACTTTTGTCATAAGCTATTATAATATTCAAATGCTAAACTTAAAAAAAATCTGTTTATAATGTAGATAAAATAAATAAAATACCGAATATAGGTAGGTACCATACGTGGACCTGCACAGACAATTTTCTGGCATATGCTGTAGTATCCATCCAGTATCGAACGTCAAATACAACATTTGAAATAATTCAGGAAAATAATGTCGTTAAAATCATTCAAATACCAAATATCGGAGGGTACCGTTATATGGGGCTATACGAAGACGTGAATCTGCACAGATAATTTCCTGTCATATGCTGTAGTATACACTACGAACTTCAAATACCAAATTTAAAACAATTCCGGTAAATAATGTCGCTAAAATCATCCAAATTCCGAATATCGGGGGTACCGTTACCGCTATACGAAGACGTGGATCTGCATGGCCCATTTCCTGTCATAGGCTGTAGTATCCATTACGAACTTCAAACACCAAATTTTAAACAATTCCGGTAAATAATGTCGCTAAAATCATCAAAATACCGAATATAGTGGGGTATAGTTATAATGGGGCTATACGAAGACGTGGACCTACATAGCCCATTTTCAATACCAAAAGTCCTGCAGGCATAGTACACATTTGAGTAAATTTTTTTCCACTTACTTCATTTCGTTCGGAAGCTAGAGTGATTTCCACAGACGGATAGACGAACGGACATTGATAAATTTTATGCTGATCAAGAATATATATACTTTGTGGGGTCTAAAATGTATATTTCGAAAAAATCCAAAGTTATTCTGAAATTTGATGCTATTTCCGACATTCTTTTGCTTTCATTCAAAAAAATTTAAAAAATAAATGTAAAAATTATGGCAATTGACTTTGTTTCAGTTTTTTTTTTATCTCACCCTACATGTACATGAGTACATGTTTCCATTTTTAGTACTTTTTGTACACATATAGTGCGAATTTAGTGCGATACACAGCACCAGTGACCCCCATTCCAAATTTAGGAATTCTAGCTCTACTGCTTCCTCAAATACAAAGGGTACCATATTAAGTACAAATTTCCCAAGTACAAATTTCCCAAAACCCAGCCTCTGATCCCTTCGGACATTGTTCGTGCGGAAGGGAAAATACCCCATCATATTTCACATGTAAGCACCAAAAATGACCCAATTTTTAAAAAAATAATATTTATAATGTTTTTTTGTGCCAAAATGTTTTATTATATTTTTTAATACTTATTAGCTAACTTCAGAACTCTGGAACTTTTGTACCTAAATCACCGATCTTAAGTCATGTTGTTAAAGATTTAATTTTTATTAGAGCAGCATTGATCCTTGGGTCCATTCTTGCAAACACAGTTGCATTCCTGGTTACAGGCACAATTGTCACCGCATTTCACAGTTGAACATTGGCAGCCTGAAATGAGAGAAAACATTTTAATTATCCTTATATATTTTAATTAAATTATACTCACTGTTGTTGCATCCTTTACAAGCCATATTTGTTTTTTTTTATATTTTGTAAATACTTCAAAATTGTTGATTCTCTAGTTGATCAAATCACGGATCCGTTTCAAATGATATTCTTTCACTAAAAAAAGTCTGTTATTTATATGAGTTATATTCATGAATAAAATGCATAAATCGATAACGTATCGTGTGAAATTGCACATTTTTTATTTACGATAGGAGGTACAACACATTATTATTAAATGTTTAAGAAAATATCCAGAAATTATTGAGGTAATGTATGCTATGTATGAAGCATGCACACATATGTACATATAATAGATTTCCATTGATCGCCTTATCAGTGCACACGTTTCCCGTTATGTGTGAGGGAATATTTCACCCCCAATTACCGAGTGCAAAAGAACCCGTTACAATGTTACTTTGTCGTACACGTTGGCAGACAATAAAGCATATATAAATATAGCATTGCAAGAGGTGAACGTCAGTAAAAATAAAACCTTTACATCGTTTATTCAAATTAAATATCTAATAAGAAATTTCTCTACCAAAATGGTCTGTGAAGGATGCAATAATAGTGAGTTTCAAATTCGAGGCATTTCCTTGATTATTTTTTATTCATTATCAACATATATTTTCTCTCAAAGACTGCCAATGCTCGACAACAAAATGTGGCGACAACTGTGGCTGCAACCAGGAATGCAACTGTGTCTGCAAGAATGGACCCAAGGATCAATGCTGCACAAATAAAAACTAATTTTGAGAATGGAAGAAGAATATGACATCTTGAAGGAAAATAGCTGATATCTTTTATTCATAAAAAACCAACAATCAATAAAACTTATAACTATATCAAATGCAATGTCATTTTGAAAATTTGAATGAAGACTAAGTTTGGCAATACTTACGTAACAAAAATAACTCGGTACCTCTTTTCGTATTTTAGGAGAAAAGTGACTATTCAAAACGTTGTTCTTGGTTTGGAAGGCATCGGAGTACATGTTCCGTTCATCGAAAAACTAAGAACTTATTATATTTAACAATTTTAACATTAGTAGGGGATATAAATGTAGACTGATGTCTATCATTTTAAACTCTATTTGGTATTCATAGAAATATTAAATGCCCAAAATTTAAAGGAACTAGGTGACTCCTTTAACAGGTTAATCCATGCATGATAAGACCATGGGGTAAATATCAGCAGAAATGGGTCGATATTTTTATACTCTCCACCATAGAATTAATTAAATTTTCCATTCCGTTTTCAACACAAGATCTGGTGTGAAGATCGAATATATCGGTCCAAACCTCATGGTGCTTCCCCCACAGCAGGTCAACATTTTGAAAAATCATGAAGCTCATAAAACACGAAATGAGTATTCGATTCACTTCAGTTTTCACACATCTTAATACCTTTTTAACACAAGTTGTGGTTTAAAGATGGGATACATCGGACCAGTCATTTTGGTACCGCCCTACAACGGGTCAAAATTTTGAATAATTATGACTCTCATAAAATGCAAAATAAGCATCGGATTCTCCTCAAATTTCGCACATTCCAATATTCTAACTAACCCAACATCTGGGGTGAAAATGGAATATGTCGGAAGATTCCTTCCGGTACCTCACTATCAGCGGGTTTAAATTTTAAATAATTATTTAAATAATTATAAAATGCGAAATTAGCATCGGATTCTCTTCACATTTCACACATCGCATCCTTTTTATAAATACAAATTTTTAACGAGAGTTTTAAATACCAAATTAAACATTGTGGCTGGAACCCTCAAAATGCCAAAAACTAGGAAGTTGCGCTATATAGACCTATATTAGCAAATTTCTTCCAAAAGGAGGAAGAACTACTAAATATAAACCTTAAACCTAATGCATTTTAAACCTTCAAAATACTCTACATTCAAAGTTACCATTTTGTGAGGTCATTTTTGCCTATTCGACTCATCGACTCAAGGGCCGATGGAGCCCATTTTTAATGCCAAAACATCCTAAAGACTTTCTATTGAGCATCGAAGCTCTCCATAAAATATTGTGACTCCTTAAACAGTATCGAATTGGGGGCTTAGTTTTAACATTTATCCTGCAACCGCAAATTCTAGGACTTATCATTCATTTTTCCCAGAGGATAGAAAATATTCCTCCAACAAAATATTCAATACCAGACCATGGATTTTAAACTTAATGGATATTGAAAATGTTTGCAAATTTTAAATCTTAGCCATGGAGAAATTGTTTTCGGGAAAGTTAAACAATAGTGTATTGAAAACCTATATAAGCACGATTACAGTCTTGAATATGCAATCAATGTTATTATTCTACACCCGATTTCATCCATATTTTTTTTAACAGAATTGGCTGTATTTTCGCCTCTGAAGACCCCAATAGTTAGAAAAAATTGTCGGAATAACTCGAATACTTACAATTTTACTGACTTAAAAAATATTTCGTACATTTTGATACTTAATCGGTAGTAAATTTAGAATTCTGCTTTTCATACCCTACAACACTATGTTTTGGGGGTATTATAAGTTTGATTGGGCCAAAAATTATGTAACAACTCGAAATATTGATTTCCCACATAGGAAAGTATACGAGCTAAGTCGATCTAGCTAGGGCGGACGGACGCCCGTCTGTTCATGTCCATTCATAATTATGGCCCGATCTTCAAGAAATTTAGAATGGAGCTAGAGCAAGAATAGAAGCCTATTGCTTTTGGAGATGACCGCATAATATTTAGGAGTTGAAATGGACCAACAACTGAAAAATTTCTTGATTTTGCAGTTACTATAAGGGTCGCAATTATAAACAATCGAAGCTGAAGTAAGCATGGGGCTAGAGCTTAGGGCTGGCCAGAAGCCTTTTCCCGTGTTCTCCTTACAACACAGGTTGGGGTTATTAAATACAGATTGTAATTATCGTCCGATTCTCACGAAAATCACAAGGGTAGGGTTAGGCTCAGAAGGCCTTTTGTTTTAAAAGATGTCCGCAATATATAGATACAGAGGGGCCTCTTGCTTTTGGAGATGATCGTAAAATATTTAGGGGTTCAAATGAACCAAAAACAGAAAAAAATTCCTAATCACACAATTGAAGCCAATCGACACGCCTGAGAAGAGAATTAAGGACAGGGAAGAATTCTGGCATTTTGGATGACCATTGGATTATATTTAGCTGTAAAATGGACCACAACAACTAACAGCAGGACCGAGTACATAAATATTGGGCAAATGTCCTTGGTCAAAATGTTATGGGTAATAATTGGCCAGTGCTCCGTGACATAATTTTAAAAGTGAAAATTTTCAAAATGGGAATCTTATTTGAAATTAGTTTACCTTAATTTCGTTGTACCATAGTTCCAAGATTCATTTAGCTCTATGCCACAAAAAAAACTAGTAACCAGAAATGTAGTAGGCGATCAAGAAACCCAGTGGGCGATCAAGGAACCCAGTGAATGATATCCTCTTAAAAATATTTGAATACATTTTTTTTTGCTAAATATTAATTTTTATGGGTTTCTATCTAATTTTCATATTCTCATTAAATTTTCATTTCAGTACTTTCTGGACAATCATAGTTTTATCACCACGGTTTTCAATTTTCTCTCTTCTAGTTTTAATATTTATTAAACAGGACGGAAATACGGCAAAAGGCCAACGGAAGATTTAATGCGTTTGGAAGACTTGAATATTTCAATAAATAATTTTAGCAATAACTAATAATTTCGTCACCACAATAATGATGCATGGAAATGTATCGAGCAAGTAATTGTATTGGCGTGCAAAAAACATAACTTCTTATCTTTAATTACTTAAATTACTTTCCCTCTAGATCAATAGTCTTATCAGTGCACACGTCCGCAGGTAGGTCTATGAAAACACACAATTTACCCACTAATTAACGAGTGCAAAATCACTCGTTACAATGTTATTTAATTCCATACATTGACGGCGAGTAGAAGTCATATAAATATTGGACTATAATTTGTGTAAGCAGTAACAATCATACCACGTCTCAGAACAAATTCCCACAAAAGAAAAAGTTGACTCAAAATGGTCTGCAAAGGATGCAACAACAGTAAGTTTATTATTTAAGATGTTGATTTCAAAATATCGTATATTAATAATATTCTTTCATACCCTGAAGACTGCCAATGCTCCACAGCCAAATGTGGTGACAACTGTGCCTGCAACCAAGAATGTAACTGTGTCTGCAAGAATGGACCCAAGGATCAATGTTGCTCTAACAAAAATTAATATCCTTTAAAGATGTAGAAATATGTTGAGGGCTTGAGTAAAGCTGAATTGAATTAACATTTGTATAAGTAAAATAAATATATATATATATAATAATTTTATCACATAAAATGTTCCCATATAAAATTTATTGTAAATCGAAAGAAGAATGGAATGTTACCAAAAACATTTTAAAAATGGATTAGAAAAAGAATAATTTGAATAAAAATACCAATTGTAATATTAACGACTATGCCTTTCTGATGTCTCCTAGTATTCGAAATTAAGGTAGTGGCGAATTATAAACTAATTTAAAAATATTATAGATAGTTTTGGTTAGTATTTTTCTAACGGATTTGACTTATTCAATAAAAATCGCAAATACCAGCAATATAGCCGTTTTCCGTTGGGAAAAAAATGATTAAGTCCTACAAAATTCTTAAAATCAGGCCTTACAGTAAATTAATTTTTGTATTACCTCCACTATATAAAAGAGGGTATTTTAAATTTGTCAATCCGTTTGCGACACCTCCAAACTTTCGTCGGATGCCCAATAAAGTATGTATTCGTAATCAATATATGTCCTTATGTGACATAGCATTCTCCATATATATCCATATTTCCCCATAGCCTCATATAACAGTACAGCTCGATATTTGGTATTTTGACGATTTTATACGATTTCCACGGAATGTTTACAAATTTGATATTTACATTTTCGCAATATATAACAACACCTATATGGTGATTTCACCGAATCTTGCAGATTTAAATGGAACTCGTTGTTGGTGAGCACCTCTTAAAGGATTGATGCTTGAAATTAATTGAACATACCTAATCCGCTCATCTATATAAAATAACGAGAAAAAAACTAGATAAAAGTTTTGGGACCATCCTTAAAAAACAGACAGGAGAATATTTCCTTATTATACCCTCCACCATATTATGGAGGGTATATTAACATTGTCATTCCGTTTGTAACTCCACATGCTGGACCCTACAAAGTATATATATTCTGGATCAGCATAAAATTCTAAGTCGATTTATCGATGTCCGCCTGTCTGTTGCAATTACGCTATCTTTCGATGTTAATATTTTGCACATGTGTGTATTATGCCAGTAGGCAAGTTAAGCTCTAAAATGGGCTATGTCGGTCCACGTGTTCGTATAACCCCCATATAACGGAACATCCCATTATTAGGTATTTTAATGCATTTAGTGACGTTATTCAACGCAATTGTTTCAAATTTCGTATTTTAAGTTCGTAATGATTACTTCAACCTATGACTTCAACCTATGTTCGCAGGTTCACGTCTTCGTATAGCGTATATAGAACGTATAGGCCCCACATAACGGTGCCTCCCCTTATCGGCATTTTTATGGTATTAGAGGCATTGTAGACCGGATTTGTTTCAAATTTCGTATTTAATGGGTACTGGAGCCTATGACATAAAATAGCGTATACAGGTCCACGTCTTCGTATAGCCCTTATATTTTGCTGATTTTGAAGTTCGTAATGGGTACTCCAACCAGAGATTTGTATATGATTTTGCGGCGTTTTTCGCCGGAATTGACAGCCTATGACAACAAATTACTTATGAAGGACAGCGTCTTCGCATAGCCCCCATACAAGGAGTTTCTTTTGGAAGGTATTTTTCTACGGATTTTTTTAATCTACAGATTTCAAATTCCTCCAAATAGTGTAAGGTATTAAAAGTTCGGCCCGTCCAAGCTTATATGCTTTTTTAGTTGTTTAACTCTACTTTCTTCTGAATTGCCCCATAGTAACAAACTTCGAGGATTTCAAAATAAACAACGGGGGTTGTAGCAAATTTTATACTAGTTTTGAAGTTCTAAAATATTTAATTACATGCCTTAGTCCATGGTCGGTGTCACTGTATCTGGATGGATGGAAGCAATATCAAATATTTGCCAGGGTAGATATAGCTACTGCGAACCAGACGTATTACATTTTAATTTATTAAGTTTAAAATAATTTTGAGGGTCTATTTTAAATACTGCTTAGAAATTTACGCTGATCAAGAATATTTGTGTACCTTTTAGGATCGCTGAAGAATTTTTTAGGTGTTACAATTAGCATGACAGAAAATTTATATAGCCATCATTTTATGGCGGATGATATAATTAAGTTATTGTAATAACTTAATTATAATTAAGTTAAGTATTGATATAATTAAGTTAAGTATTGCAAAACTACTAAGTTCCAGGATATATACCACAATTCATCTCCGATTTTTGTAGGTGTGGTTCCAATCCCAACCAAGAAAAAATTTGCCTATGGATAAAATTTGCTTTAATAAAATTATTTTATTCTTTTATAAGTATGGTTTCATATATTTTTCTCTACACTTTCCACATATTTTATAAGATTTCCAAAATTAATTTTTATTTGAGCAGCATTGATCCTTGGGTCCATTCTTGCATTCCTGGTTGCAGGCACAGTTATCGCCACATTTTGTTGTGGAGCATTGGCATTCTATAAGGAAGGAAATATGACTGTTAATACAAAACTCTTTAAAATACTGCCGCTAAATAATAAACTTACTGTTGTTGCATCCTTTGCAGACCATTTTGTCACGATGGTTACTTTTTAAGTTTTTGTTCTGAGAAACGAAATAATGGGAGTTTTTGTTTGTTACTGACTTTAACCGTCTGTTTTGCTATATTTATATTCGATTTTTACTCGTCAAGGCATAAGTTGAAATGAAAACGTAACGAGTGCTTTTGCACTCGTTAATTGATGAGCAAAATTTTGCGTTTCGCAGACCTACAGCAGACGTGTGCACTGATAAGGCGATTGATCTAGATGGAAAACAATTATTATCGCGATAAGTAGTTATGTTGTAGACACATACATACAAATATAATTTTCTCGCACATACTTTGATGCATCATTATATGCTGATGAAATCACAGGTTTATTTATTGAAATTTTTAAGCCATAATCAAATTAAAAAATTAATCACCAAGAAATTTTGAGGAAAATCCTCTGAATATAAGAAATGGATGAATTTTCGATGAATTTCAACATTGTCTGGGACTTAGATGTGACTCATGTGTTTGCAAAATATTAAACTTGCGGAGATGACGTGACATGGTACAATTAAATTATGGCAATTTCATTTCAAATATTAATACCCAAATCTGCATTTTCCTTTATTTAACGTATAAAATTAAATTCAACCTCCAGTATATTTCGCGATAATATTCGGCATTTATTCTGATGCCACGGTCGATTAATACGAACTGAGAGCGACCATCGGCTGTTATGGCGGCCCACACCATTACCATGGGCGGCGCTTGAGATCTGGTGGCCAACCGAAGGTGCACATTTTCAGCCGACCTCTTTGGCAAGCAAAACACGATCATTTTGTTTGTTTACAACATGCTGGACCACGAATGTTTTCTTATCGGAGAAAACCAAATTCGGCAGTTCAACACTTTCGGTCAAGCCATGCAATTTTTTAGCTCTTTTGAGTCTATTTTCTTTCTGTTGCGGTGTAAGTTCTTGCACTTTTTGGAATTTCAATGGCTTCACCCCGAGCTCATTTTTCAATATTTGCCGAAGGGAATATTGCAATATGTTCAGCTCACGAGCCATTTTTCGGCACTGTGACGCGGGTTTCGATCAAGTCTCTTTTTAACTTTGCGAACCATTTCTGCTGATGTTGCTGTTTTCTTCCGTCCACTTCCTTGACATCGGACTACGCTAAACAGTATCACGGTAACGAGCGATGGTACGAGACGCAAAAGATAAATGCTGGATGCTCTGGCGATAGCCACTTGTGGTTTTCCAGCCAAATATAAAGAAATCACACTATCACCCTTAATTTCCATCACGAATAACTTTTTTCTGGAAAATTCTCACCGAAATGCTTTTGTACACTTGTAAACAACAAAATGAACTGTCACTACAATAAATTTAACAGCTGTCGGACGAGTGGCTTAGAAATGACAGCAGTCTGAAATTGGTTGCAGTTTTTTCATCAGGGTGAAATGAAAAACTGCAACCTCTCTAGCCATATGGCTGAGGGTATAAAAATTGTGTCGTTAAATATTTGAATATTTTGAGTAAGCTGTATTATATCTGTGAAGCGATACCTTCCATTTTCGATACTATCATTGGTGGGTATCAAAAGAAATAGACTGATCTTGCCCATTTTGGCACCTGACCTAAGTTTTATACAAATATTTCAATGTGTACAGCTTCAACTGTTTCAATATTTTGACCGTTTCATATCCGAGATGCTGGACGGATTGGGCCGACAGAAAAAATTGAATGTCTGGAATTTCGGGATAATGTTAACACTTTGTGGGTCATATTGCAAAAGCAATTTGTCTATAGTACCATGTAGAGAATTCGAATGCGCCTCCCTCGAGGAATTTAATTTTTTTTAAGTAGGTGATATTTTTCAACTCTAAACTCAATTTTAGTTTAAAATTTACAGTGTACCAAGATTGGACCCAGATCGGATCAGACGGATCGAAGAGTAATAATAAACAACAGCAGACGAGAAGAAGGACATTGCTAATTGACTCCATGTTTTTGAAACGGATTTCGTATAAAGAGAGATAGCATTAAAACCCGTTTTTATACCACCACCATACTATGGAGGGTATATTAACTTTGTCATTCCGTTTGTAACTCCTCGAAATACTCACGTCAGACCCAACAAAGTATATATATATATTCATAATCAGCGTAAAATTTTAAGACGATTTAGCGATGTCCGTCTGTCTGTTGTAATCACGCTATCTTTCGAACGAATTGAGATAGAAGACAGTTCGTTCGTAAATGGGCCATGTAGATCTACGTTTTCATATAGCCCCCATTCGGCATTTTGATGATTTTAGCGTCATTATTCACCGGAATTGTTTCAAATGTGGTATTTGAAGTTTGAATTGGATACTACAGCCTAAGACAGAAAATTATCTGTGCAGGTCCCCGTCTTCGTATGGCCCCCATATAACGGTACCTCCCGATATTCGGTATTTTGATGTTTTTAGCGACAAAATTCACCGGAATTGTTTCAAATTTGGTATTTGAAGTTCGAAATGGGAACTACAGGCTGTGACAGAAAATTGTGTATGCAGGTCCACGTCTTCGTATAGGCCCTATATATCAGTACCTCCCTATATTCGGTATTTTGACGAGTTTAGGTATAAAACCCACCAAAATTGTTTGAGATGTCGTATTTGAAGTTCGTAATGGAAGCTACAGCCTGTGACAGAAAATTGTCTATGATGGTCCAGGTCTTCGTATAGCTCCTATATAACGATACCTCCCTATATACGATATTTTGATGATTTTAGCTACGTTATTCACCGTTTAATTCAAGTTTCGAATTTGAATATGGTAATGGCTTATGACAAACAATTCCTATGTCGTATAGACAGGTATTTTAGGTATTTTTAAAATTTTAACAGAATTTTTTAAGGATTTTATTTTTTGAAAATTTTCAAATTCGTTCCAATTGGTGGAGGATATTCTAAGTTCAGCCCGGCCGAACTTACTGCTTTTTAACTTGTTTTTTTTTTTTTTTTTGATGGGGCTTATTTTGACGTATCTAAGACTAAGAGTTAAAAAAGTTGAATTAAGTGCATTTTTAGATAGGTTCTACTAACCCTAACCCTAGACTTTAAATAAGACATGCCCCAAAAAATATATATTTTCTTATATTCCCTTTCAACATGAGTCTTTGAACTTAAAGCATTAATAAATTCAACAAAAATTGAAGACAAACTTATCAAAGCATAGAGGTGTTGATGTTAATGTTATTTTTCTCGTTATTTGTTGCGTGTTATTGTTATGCCACCATTCAACATTGTTGGGCGCAATGGAAAACCCCCCAAAGTGGAATGTCTCTCAGCATCTTGACTTGTGTCGTTTTTTCTCCTTCTCCTTCTTTTCTTTCACCGAAACTGTTAACGACACTATGGAGAGTAATTTTTGACAGCGAAATGTGTTTATTTTCTCTTTTCTTTGAGAAACAAAAAAATGGCAAAACTTTGTTGCTTCCCATTTCGATGAGAAGTTTTGGGAGTTTTGTTTTTTGGAAATTGATATTGTCGCTGTTTTCCCTACTCCCTTTGCTTGTCTCTCCCCGTACTGCCATAAAAATTTGCATATTTTAGCATTGATTTTATGCACAGTTAAGCATTAATGTCATCATCATCCCATACGATGTGGGTTTCCTGCTTGGCTTCTTTGCTGGTGACATAATAATACTTCTGGGGTACCGCACCGCACCACACCACGCCAGTTGTGGCTGTTAACAACGCCATGTAATTGTTTTTCAATGTCCTGGACGCTGTTCAAAATCCCTTAAGTACATTTCGTAGTTGTTAAAGTCTTTTTGATTGCTTTAATTCACTGAAAAGTAAAAAAAGTTTGGTAATATAAATAATTTCAATTTTTTTTTTTTTTTTTGTGAAAAAGATGGATTATTTTTTAACACTGGGCAGTTTCAAAATTGATTTCTTTATAACAATAGCTAAATGAGTTATTATACAGTAAAAGACCAAACGGTCTTCTATAAAAAGATAACAAAATGGGAGTTTTTTTAAGACATTTTTTCATATAAATGAAAGGCCCAAATAGAATTCGATAAATATATATGACACCAAATTCAAAATAAAAAGTAAGCTTTGTTTTTTCACCGTATTTATTTCTTGTGTTTTTAATCCCATCTTGCAAAATATTGGAAATTTCAAAATCAACACATAGGTAATTCATGTATTGGAACACGTATACCTGACTATAAGAACAAATCAATCTTAATAAGTAATCCAATAATATTTTATCGAATCAGAACATCGTGTGCACAAATAGTGATGAATTAATAATTTTATCAACATTTTCGAAATAAAGAATTGATTCATAGGAGGTTTACTGCCTTTAATGTACAGTATGGTGGAGGGTATAACAATAAGAGGAATAACAGAATCTGAATGAAAGATTGGAAAAAAAATTAATTCGCGCTTGAAAAAATTAATTAAAAGTTCATTAGTTGAATTAAATGTATCATTGGCAAACGACTTTATGTTTTTCAGAACGACCGGTAAACATCCAACAACTCAAGCAAATGTTTTTCCTCAACTTTAAAAAAACGTCACAAATAAGAAAATGCATGATGCCTCAACTGCACACACGTCATAATCGAACGTCATGCACGAGAAAAATCAGAAAATTCTGATTTTGCTTTATGCATTGTAGGTGTGATGCATACATAAACATTTTCACTAACATCACAAAATTGCATGTCATGCATTTTGACCGTGTACGGGGCACTTAAAATGACTAAAGTTTAATGCAGGCTTAGCTAACTACTACCAATACAAAATCATTAATTGTTTATGTTTCACAGACATGAACATCGAGAGAGTAACTCTCCGTCTCTCGGTAGACATTATGTGTGTTAACTCTTTGGAAAAACTAGTAAGTCGACTTTCGATTAATCGACTTTTAGTTCTCAAATTTCTCAAAGTCGTAGTTGACTATGAACTGTGGTCAAAACCGATTAATCAACTTTTCATAGTCGATTGTGCGATTTTGAACTGAATAACTAGATTGTTGAGTATTAACAATTACTATGCTTGCTCCGTTGTTGATTCGTTTTTAAGTAATTATACCCTACACCACACTGTGGCCTGGTCTCTTTCCTATACCCTCAGCCATGAAGGTTAACTTAACTTTGTCATTCCGTTTGTAACTCCTCGAAATAATCATGTCAGACCCAACAAAGTATATTTCGCGTAAAATTCTAAGTCGATTTGGCGATGTCATTCTGTCCGTCTGTCAGCATTTTTAACGGATTTTATTGATTGAAAATTTCCTAGATTGCATTTCTGTGTGACATGGAGAAGGAAACGAGTCCGACCCATACTCCCCAACCATAGAAACACTTTTTGAGTCGATTTATGGATGTTCGTCCATCCATGTATTTTTGTGAACAAAGTACAGGTGACATTTACTGACCGAATTTTTAACAGATTTTCTTTTTGTTTGAAAATTGCCAAATTCGTTCCAAATGGTGGAGGCATTCAAAGGTCGGCTCGGCCGAACTTATAGCTCTTTTACTTTTTTTTTTTTAATTTTCGTATTACGATTCAGCAATATAGGATAGTAATTATAACCCTCTAGCGTGTCGGCAAACACGGTTTTTTGGTCCTTTTTTGAATATGCTCAAAAATTAAAAAACAAACTCCCTTTAAACGGCATAGTAGCAAATATTCAATATATTCTACAAATTTATTTGACATAAAATTCTGCTGTTGGATCAGGGAGACAACTAATTTGTTATGAATTATATACCTTTTATAGTACGTTTACGCTGTAGAGGATTTAGAAACCCCAGTCGGTTTAAATTGTCAATTGCTTTGAATATACCTCAAATAAATCTTGATAAAGAAGGTTAACCCCGAAAAAATATCTAACGTAAACATGATTTTAGCAATTTACATATTAATTATGTGATTTTTCCCTATTTCAAATTTAGATAAAAAGTAAAATTTTTAATACGTAAAAGTCTGTATTTCATGTGAAGATATTCAACATAATACATATCATATCAATTACTTCCAATTTCAACGAATCGCCTTATCAGTGCACACGGAAATCGCACGAACAATAACTGTTTAATTGAAGCAGAAATTCACCCCAATTTGCCGAGTGCAAAAGCACTCGTTACATTATCGTTTCGTTTTATGCAGACACGAGTGGAAAAACGCATATAAATATAACAGTGTAGTCGATGGGGTATTAGAACATAAGTTCAGATCACAACTTATACGTGTCATTAAAAAAATAATAAAAAGAAAACTCTTTGCCAAAATGGTTTGCAAAGGATGCAATAACAGTAAGTAGTTTGGAACTCAAGGCATTAATTTGTTTAATTAATAACCATTTTTTCTTTTTAGACTGCCAATGTTCCACAACCAAATGTGGTGACAACTGTGCCTGCAACAAGGAATGCAATTGTGTCTGCAAGAATGGACCCAAGGATCAATGCTGCTCTAATAAAAATTAATTCTGATTAATGCTAAAAAATGTATTTAAAAGTTTATATGAGAAAAGATTGACGAAAATTGTGAAGAAATAAAGCTCTTAGATTCTCAAGACGTCAGTGTTTTATTTTATTTTTTACAAAAAAATGTTGGAATCAGTAACATTAGGTCTATACCAAAACAAGTCCCTAGTGACCAATTATTTAAGGAGATTATTTTCCTTTTTTTTACATATTTTGGAATGCCACAATGTGTAGCTATTTGTTCGGATGTGTTCTATTTATCTCTTTCAGAAATTATCTGAACGACCGAGTGTGCCCTCTACAATAGATTTCTGACACTATATACACCCAAACTTGGCATCACTGCAAAAAAATTAGCAAAGTTATCAACCTTCGTTCAGCCTAGATACAAAGGTGTAAACATAAGATATAAAAAATAATAAAATGGGGCATAAAAAATGTAATGCTTTTGTTATAGATGTCCTTAATATAAAATTTTTGAGTAAAACTGTTTGCTCTGTTGCAAAACCTGCAAGAATCTAATATTTTTACAATTTTTTTGTCGATATTATAACAGGATATTTGTTATCCTAGTAAAATGTTTTACATTCTTGCAGTTCTGCAAATGATCAATTGTTTATTCTCCGAGATGCAGAGGAATTTTCCTAGCGATTCCTTGAAGTAATGCAAGGTTTGTATCCTCTCTGACAACTATATATTGAGGGGAAGGATATGAAAATATTAAAATGAAGCATTTTAGAAAGATCTGGTCTGCACTTTAAATTACATAACACAAATGCCCTGTTTGGACACAAACATATGACACTATTATTAGTTACTGTAACAAATTTCTATATGGTTGTTGTTAAATTCTATTTGTTGTAGTTTTGTTTCTATCTTTTAAAAATAAAAGCAGGGAATTTGAATCATCTGTGACAAAATTCTTTTAATAAATCCACACTCCCATTGCTGGCATACGATAACATCGATAAAGAAAACTTTCATTCGATACTCCTTTTCAAAACAATGTATCGATACTATCGATATTACAATCGACTCTCTGCCAACTCTAGTTAAAACCAGAAAAAAAGATGGCCGCACGAAACAAGTGAAAAATTTCATTCAACAATAATAGAATAATAAACAATCGAAATAAATTGTGATTTTAAACATTAAAAGTATATTTATTTAATAATATATGATATAAGTTATTAGGGAAATATGAAGTTTTTACTTTGCGCCTAGGAAAACAATGTAAAAAGAAGAAAACAAAAAGTGCCACAATTTGATGTCTGCCAGAGTTCATTGAAAAAAAGAAAGACCAGTGAGTTTCTACTCTGCTGCTGCTACTGGTGCTTCTTCTTCATCGACTGCTTACCTATCTATGAAACGGGTTGCTACTGTGTGTGCGTGTGCATTTGTGTGTTTATGGAAGAAGATTTTCCAAAAGAAAAAAAATCAATCAACGACGTGAGAAGAAATCAAAGGCGTGTAATCAATAACTTTTAAGAATAATCAATTTTGCAATAATGATTTTCTAATACAGTGAAGAAGCAGCATTGCGAGTTTATAGCAACTTGATAAAATGTTACAATACAAAAATCCCTCTGCCGCGCAAGGTAATGCCTCTGCTACAGCCCCGCCTACACAGCAGACACAGGTACAGCAGCAGCAACAACAACAACAGCAGACGCAACAACAAACAACTGTCCAAAATGCAGCGGGCCAACAACAACAAATCCAATCACAGCCCACCCAAGTTAAAGCCACATTTATGAATCCTGCTGCCGGCCAGGCGGGTCAGGCCCAATTGCAGGCGGCCGGTAGCACCACTTTGCAGCCGAATCAAATACCTTTGTCACAGATCATTAATATTCAACAATTGCCGCAACAGTTTTTGCAGGCAGCTGCAGCCCAACAGCAAACACCCCACCAACAGACGCAAACATTGCCACAAAATATGTTCCAAATAGTGCAGCCGATGCAAACGGTGAATATAGATGGACAGGAAGCTATATTCATACCGAACTTTAATACCCAATTGGCGGCAGCTCAACCGGTAAATATCAACGGCCAACAGGTATTTTTAACGCCCAATGGACAGATAGTACGTGCACCACAGGCTGCCCAACAGACCACAGCAGTACAGCTGCAACCGGGTACGCAATTTATACAGGGTCTAGGACAAACCATACAACTGCCAGCTGGATTCGGTACTGCTGGGGCTCTGCAAGAACAGACAATGTTCACAATACCCGGGACGAATATACAAATACCCATAACGACAGCTCCCACACCGCAGCAAATCCAACAGCAGCAATTGCAGCAGTTGTTCCAGCAGCAGCAACAACAACAGCAGCAGTCTCAGTTACAGGCCCAGGTCCAGGCTCAAGCACAGGCCCAAGCCCAACAACAGGCACAGCAACAACAGCAGCAAGCCCAGCAACAGGCCCAACAGCAGCAGCAACAACAACAGGTAAATAACGCCGCTGCAGCTGCCAATAGCAATGCAACGTCAGGATCAGTTCCCAACAATGCAACTCCTGGACAAAATGCTCCCCTGCAAACGGCAAATATAACACCAACTGGTGGTACGACGACAACCACAACTTTGCCCAGCACAATAACAATTCCCGGTACAAATATACAGATTCCCACCTCTGTGGCTGCAGCCAACGGCCTCTTGGGCAATTTACAACAACTCCTGGCAGCTGGTGGAAATGCTTCCATAAAACTTGACAATGGTCAAACACTGCAAAATATACAAATCCGCCAAGCCGGGCCCGCCACAACTGCTACGACGGGCACAGCATCACAACTGCAACAAATTGTGCAATTTCCTCCAACCTTGCAGCAAGCACCTACGGCTGCCGTTCCCCAACCAGCAATACAACAGACCACCGTTGCAGTACAAGTTCCCATACAAACGGCAAATGGTCAGACTATCTATCAAACCGTACACGTACCCGTCCAGCAATTGGCCGGTGGAGCGAGTGGCATTTCAGCAACCAATCTTCTTCCAACCGCCCAACACATGGCCATGCCTCAAATAATACCACAGTATACGCAAATAGCACAGATTGTCACTCCGAGCGGGCAGATTCAGCAGGTCCAATTGGCTCCACTGAATGCTCTAACATCCTATCAGCAATTACCCACTAATGCCAATATTATTCACATTCAGAATGCAGCTGTGGCCCAGCAGCAGGCGGCAGCAGTTGTCCATCAGCAACAACAACAGCAGCAGCAACAACAGCAACAGGTACAAGTACAACAGCAGCAACAGCAACAAGTCCAACAACAAGCTGCAGCGGCAGCTGTGGCTGCTCAACAGCAGGCTGCCCAAGTTCAACATCAGCAGCAATTACAACAACAACAGCAACAAATAATCAATGCCATCAATGCGGCTAATGAGTCGGGAGCTCAAATACCTACCAATCAACCCATAACCATAACCAATGCCCAAGGGCAACAGGTTACGGTAATACCAGCTCAACAACTGCAACAATTCCAACGTGCCAATATTGCTGCTGCAACTCATCAAACTGCGGCCACCGCAACCCCTGCACCACAAGCAACAACTGCATCCGCAACTGCCACAGTACCCCAAACAGCAGCAGCGAATCTCATACAATTCCAACAAATGCCCGGACTGCAAGCATTGCCCATACAAAATATTCCCGGTATAGGTCAGGTGCAAATTATTCAGGCTCAACAACTACCGCCCAATCTGCAGGCTGCTAATATTCAACAGATTTTAGCTGCAACAGCGGCAGCTGGTCCTCAAACGGCCGCCAATGCCGGGCAACAAAATGTACAACAATCCTCTCCCCAGACCACAAATTCTAATTCCCACTCTCAGTCAACCGCCCAGTCAACATCACAAAATGCTCCCACAACCACCTCCACACAGCCATCTCCACAAGCTTCCCAACCAACATCAACAACAAACAATACAACGCCGGGCAGTGTTACAACGGCAACATTGCAACAAATCACTGGCAATTCCTCGAATGTCACCACCACAGGACAACAACAGTCCACCACAAATCAAACTTCCCCGGCCAACAATAACAACAGCACCAACCAGCAGCAGCAACATCACCAGTTGGCCACACAACAGAACAATACACCCAGTAGCACAACGGCCATAACTTCGGCCACTTTGCAGCAGCCCAAGCAGGAACCACCATCACCCACACAAATTGGCCAGACATTGATCACCAACATTAAACAAGAACCACCAGATAACGGCGGCAGCATTCCTGCCGGTACCACATCCATTAGTGTTCCTGCCTCACCCGTTGCTGCCAATGCTGTGACGAGTACCCAAATTAAATGGTTAATGCCACAGGCTACAACTGTTACCCAGGTGAGTGATTTTTTTTCGCATTTTTGTTTGCTAAATATGTGTGGTGCTTGATGACACAAAAATCTAATCATAAGCAACAACATCATAACCCACATGCATACGTACATATACATGTATCTATCTATATATTTATTTATCACGGAAGTCGTTTCGCACTAAAATTTGTTTTATGTCTTTGGAAATTTACTTATTTGTTATATTTATCTGTATCTGTCATTGGGAATCCTTAAGCGATTCGACTCCCGCTCACTCGCTTATCAACCAGATTTCATTAGAAAATAAGAATTGTTTTCTAAATTGATTTGTTTAATTGGTGTTTTTTGTCTATGAAGTTTATAAGAGGATTGGAAATGGAGCTGGAGTTAAAAAGATTGGGAGTTTAAATGGGTCTGGTCAAATATTTCCTGAGGCAACCAAAAAATATTTGTAAAATTTCATAAATATTGATTGTTATTGGATTAAAGCTACGACATAGTATAGAATCCAGAACTTTTTCATTGAAATTTAACAAAAATCCAGATACAATCTGGGCATCAGTATATATTTAGATAGCATTAAAGAACTCAAGCCATATTCAACAGATCTTCAGTCCCTGTTTTAAAAAAGTATATTCTCTAATGACGCCTTGGATGCGTCCATATTACAGACTACATACTTAAGGTTGTTTTCATAAAATAGCCTGTTATAAAAATAGCATTTCGTCTTATATATTTCGACGAGACTCAAGTCGAGTGTAAGGGGGAACTCGCGGATCGTTTGAAATTTTGACAGTATATAGCGGTGGAACTCTGTTTACAATGAAAAACATTTTTATACCCTCCACCATAGTATGGAGGGTATTTTAAGTTTGTCATTCCGTTTGTAACACCTCGAAATATACATTTTAGACCCCTAAATGAATTTCTTCCTAAACCAAATGCGGCTTTCACATTGAAAGCTTTCGTTCATTAGGCATTCCATATTACTCTGGGCTTCGCATCTCTAATCCTGTTTGGCTTTGGCTCCTAATCCTTTCTACTAAAATCATATGCATATACTCCATTCAAATCTACCATCCATCTAACACATTAACATTAAATCCCATAACTCCTGTCCCTTGCTTTTCAAAATTTTAAATCAAATAAAAATTATTAACAATAATTAGTTGATAATAAAATCTGGTGATGGTGGCTTCTTTTTTGAATTTTAAATAACAAAACAACAACAACATCAATACAAAAAATATAATAACAAAAGAATTCCTTAAAGACGAACAAATTTTAATGAATGATCTTTCCCCTTGACACGCTGTTAAACTAACAGTCTACGCATCCTTACAGGTACAGCAGCAACAGGCGCAATTACAGCAAATCCAACAGCAACTCCAACAAGCTCAACAGCAACAGCAGCAGCAACAACAACATTTGCAGCAGCAGCAACATCAATTCCAGCAACAACAACAACAACAGCAGCAGCAACAATCCCAGCAATCCCAACAGCAACAACATATCGTCTCAGCCATCGATAATATGGGAATACCAGTAACTTTGCCGGCATCACTGCAAATTACTCCCATTCCAGCCAACTTGCAAGGAGCACACCAGCAGCAACAACATTTCACCATACCAATTGGCAGGACCACACTCATTAAACCCCATGCTGGGAGTAATTTAAGTGTTTCAACAACAGCACCACAAACATCAACATCATCGGTGACCAGTAATTTAGGAGGCACACAAATTACCATTGCCGCCACAACCACCAATGCCAATAACAACACGCAACAGCAGAATAGCAATCAAACATCAAATACAACAACTCAAGCACAACAACAGAATGCTAATGCTGCGTCCTCCATAGTCCAGCCAGCAACAGGAGCAGCTCCCCCGCCACAACCACCACCACCCACACAAACTTCCGTCAATGTAAATATCAATCTAAATGATCCCGGTAATTTGGGTATAAAACCGCGTCTGAAACGAGTTGCCTGCACCTGCCCCAACTGTGTGGATGGTGAAAACAAGTCCGATCGCAAAAAACAACACATCTGCCACATACCCGGTTGCAATAAAGTCTATGGCAAGACATCCCATCTGCGAGCCCATTTACGTTGGCACACAGGCGAACGACCGTTTGTCTGTTCCTGGCTTTTCTGTGGTAAACGTTTCACACGATCCGATGAACTGCAGCGTCATCGTCGAACCCACACAGGGGAGAAACGATTTCAATGTCCCGAATGTTATAAGAAATTTATGCGTTCCGATCACTTATCCAAACACATCAAAACCCATCAGAAATCTCGGGCAGCTCTCGAACGTATTGAATTGTATAATTATAAACAGGATAATATCAAACAAGAACCGGGCGGAGATGATATGCAGGATATGGAAAATGTTGTGGGAATGGATATGCCACAAAGAGGAGGTCACCAACAACATCATTTAGATGCCAATACAGTTGCGGGTTCAACTGGTGGCATGGTGGTGAGTGTGGCCGGTGGCAATGGCTCGGGTATGGGCAATACTTCTATGTCATCGCTGGATGGCAGTTTAAACAATTCATCCACCGGTGGTGGTGGTGGTGGTCTAATAATGCATGAGGCTGATATTTCCAATCAAACCGATAGCTATGGCGAGGACGATGACTGTGATGACGACGAAGACGATGAGCTAATGGACGACGAAGAAGACAGCGGAGATGATGAAGAAAAAATGACCATTTCTATTAATGAATTTCCCGAAAACTCCAACTAGCAGGATATAGATATGCTAATAGAACAATATATGTTTGATGATTTCTGATGAAAGTGAGTAAAATTGTGTTAGAGACTGAATGAATGAAGAGGACATTTGACGGAAAATTGGTAACGGAAATTTAGGAGGAAAGAGAATTTGTAGGGGAGACGTGGATTGAAGGGGATTGGGCTTTTGTGGTCGATTTAATATTTCCAAGTTGTACAGTGTCCACTTTTAATTACAAGTTGAAAAGATTTGCACTTCTTTGCAAAGTTGAAAAATCGAGGGAGAAATGTAATTTAAAAAGATGGAGGAAGTCTACAATGGAAGAAATTGTATGGAAAGTTTATCCATAATAAAGAAAGATGTCTTTAAAGAGAATATTTCCATTTTGTATCCACTGTTGGGTACATTATCCATGATAGCAAATACAAGATTCTACGTTTTGGCGATATTATCTTCAATTTTCCTCTTCACAATTCATAGTATGGAGGGAATATAAAGCTATGTCATTCAGATTGTAACTCATCGAAAGAACCATTTACTGCCCAACAAAGTATATTCGTTATCAGCGATTCAATTGTATTCCGCTGTCCGTTTGTGAAAATCTCTAACTTTCGAGGAAATAGGAAACCTAGATGACTAAAATTTTGATCACACACATGTTATGTAAGATTGAGTTATGGAATTGAAAATGGCATATATCGGTCCATGACAAAAAAAATTCCATTATTGGGAATTTTGATGATTGTACCCACATTTTGAATTGGAACCTATCAGGCAGATAGCGGTCCACATACAGGGTGAGATAAAAAAGGTGCAACAAAATCAAACTCCAAAATTATTTTTTTAATTTTATTGAATGATACCGTCACACGCTGCCCGAATGTTGCTCTGCGTAATTTTGGCCCATTCCCGGCGAAGCGCTTGTTTGAGGTTATCGACACTTTGGTATTTTTTAGTGCCAACCTTGGTTTCCAGAATACTCCAGACACAATAGTCCAACGGATTGGTATCCGGAGATTTTGGTAGCCATTGTGCGCTGGAAATGGAGGGAGGAACCTCATTTTGTAACCATTCTTAGCTGGCGCGTGCTGAGTGCAATGGTGCTGAGTCCTGTTTGAATGTCCAAGGTCTGCGGCCAAAATGTTTGGGTGCCCATGGCTTTAATACATCTTCCTGAATATTTTATCGATAATATTCGGCATTTATTCTGATGCCACGGTCGATTAATACGAGCGGAGAGCGACCATCGGCTGTTATGGCGGCCCACACCATAACCATGACCGGCGCTTGAGTTCTGGTGGCCAACCGAAGGTGAACATTTTCAGCTGACCTCTTTGGCAAGTAAACACGATCATTTTGTTTGTTTACAAACTGCTGGACAACGGAGTAGTCATGTATAGAAGTTTTTGGAACCGCCCAGGGCTCTATGGGCTAGGTTACTGTACAAATTAACAATAAATAAAAAAATGTTTTCTCATCGCAGAAACCCAAATTGGGCAGTTCACCACTTTCGGTCTAGCAATGCTTTAGCTCTTTTGAGTCTATTTTCTTTCTGTTGCGGGATAAGCTATTGCACTTTTTGGAATTTCAATTGCTTTACCCCTACCTCATTTTTCAATATTTGCCGAATGGAATATTGCGACATGTTCAGCTCACAAGCCATTTTTCGGCCACTTCGACGCGGGTTTCGATTCGTCGCTTCTTTACTTTTCGAACCATTTCTGCTGATGTTGCTGTTTTCTTCCGTCCACTTCCTTGACGTTGGGCTACGCTACCAGTATCAAGAAAGAAATCGCACGATTTCGTTTGAATTCCATCACGAATAACTTTTTTTCCAGAAAATTCTCACCAAAATGCTTTTGTACGCTTGTAAACAATATAATGAGCTGTCACTGGAATAATTTTGACAGCTGTCGGACGAGTGGCTTAGAAATGACAGTAGTCTGAAGTTGGTTACAGTTTTTTCATCTCACCCTGTATATTAAAATCCTTAAAAAATTAATTCCCAAAAACCCTATTTTTAATAGCAAACCATTTAGCTTGGAAAACGATACATTACAATGCGTACATCAAGTATCCCGATATTCGTTCGTCGAGATGTGAGGGTATAGCACATAAAGGGTCATCGAGGCATCAAGGACACTGTTTACACCTAAAGCGTTTTTAATAGTTATGCCTTCAGCTTGAAAAACACAATATTCACTTTTTTAAGCTTAAATGAGAATTCCAAAATAATCTACCTGATATGCTGCTCCCTTAGAATTCTGCATCTGAGACCATAGGTATATATTTATATATTACCGTTTATTGGTATGTTGTAACTCGAAGTTCATGTGTCGAGATTTATAGGTATGGGACTGGAGTACTTTCAGGACTTAAATTCAATATGGTCACCCAACACAATTTCTATTAACCAATAGATCTAAAGCCCTTGGAAATAACATATTCAAATATTATCTCCTTTTAGATACATTTTAAAAATAATTGTTTAAATATTATGAATTTCGTATACATAAATTTGTACCCTTTGAAGGAGTAACTATCCGCATTTGGCACACTTTATGCAAGCTATAAAATTATCTATATTGAAAAAAAATTAGCAATATACCTTAGGGTTTAAATTTTGTTTTCAATTATATTTCATTGTTTCCATCTACAATTCTTGACCACTCGACTTATTTGTGATAACTTCTAATATATTGTTTTTATGGATATCAGACTTTTTTCCCACCTGAGACCATTTTAGCTCTCTTAATTTTTTTTCGTTTTATTTAAAAATTTTCTGTTCTACTAAATTTGCTTTAAAAACTTTCCTTTATCCCCTTTTAAAAATTATTTGTTTTGTGTAAAAAATGTTTCGTTTTGAAACGACTGTGATTTGTAAGAAAATATGTACAGGAAAATGTAAATAATACTCCTTTCATCAGTAAATCATACAAGCAATAAATACATGTTATTTATTAAAAAAAAGAATGATCGAAATTAAATGTAGTATAAAGAAATCGTTTTGAAACATATTCAAAAATCGAATCGAAAAATAGAGACTAGAAGATTAAAAAACTACTATTCCTTAAATATTTTTTTTTAAACAACAACACAATATAGTATTTTTAACAAAATAATGTAAGTTATAATTTTACAAATGTTTCAATTTTTTTAATAGAAAATAAGCTGACGTACTTTTAAAGTACATTGCCCACTTAAGTCCTTAATGTATTCAGTTTTACATTTTTTTATAAATATATATAAATATCACATATATAATATAGCGTGTAAATAATACTCTTAACAATTAATTCTAAATGTATATAAATAGTGTATTTTTTAGGTTCTCTTTTTATTAAAATATAAAGAAAAATTAAAAAAAAACGAAAACTTAGCAATTAATCATATACATATAGTCGTAACTAAAATGTTTTTGTATTTATTTAGACAACTAAGAAAAGAATTTTTATATGTATAATTGTAGTTAATATTACAGTTTTCCAATTCGTCTTATTGTCGTCAACGTCATTTGTCCTATTATTGTTTATAGATATATATATATATATAAGTCAATGCTTATAACATGTACTTATATACACACGTTTTTTTTTTTTTTTTTCTAGTTTACTTTAGATGATTATTATTTCCTCCCCTCCCCCCATCACCAAACGAATTACAAATTCGTACAGCAAAAGAATCAAGAATTTATAAAAAAATAAAAACAAAATCAGATAAATAAAACTATACATATTTTTTCTGTTTAGCTATAATTACACACATAGAATATACAAAAAACAAAAAGTATATGTTTTTAAGAAAAAAGTAACTAGAAATTATGTCGATAAAGATTTGATGCACATCCGCCGACATCATCGCTAACACAATGCAAACAAAAAATTCAATATACATATGTATAACACTTTTCTTGAAAAGAGAAACATTTTCAAAATAATAATGATGATATATAAATATACACATACTTATAAAGAAACTTTTGAAATGAAAACCTGTGTTTTTTTGGGTCTTGGTACAATAATTATTAGCTTACTAATTTATTTTACATGGGAAAGACTCGTGGTCCTTTGGTTTTTTCCGGAAAAGAAGTCGTGCGTATAGAAGTAAAGTGCAAGACACAAAAATTGAAGCTTGATTTTTTAGGGCGCAGCTTCTAAGAAACTACAGTAATTTGAATAAGCAGTTTGATTCCTTCTTTGATCTGCTGTGTGTTCGTTCTGACTCCTCAGCTCTCGCTCTTCAGCTGCGATGGTCTCCTAGTACAGTATTCACTGTATACAGGGTGAGATGACAAAACTGCAACCAACTTCAGACTGCGGTCATTTCTAGGCCACTCGTCCGACAGCTGTTAAAATTATTCCAAGCATTTTGGTGAGAATTACTCGTGATGGAATTCAATCTAATAGCGTGATAGAGCACTCCGACATTTAGATATGAATAAATCTTTCGTGTCTTGTACCATTGCTCGTTACCGTGATACTGGTAGCGTAGCCCGACGTCAAGTACTTGACTTGATCGAAAACCGCGTCACAGTGTCCGTGCTCGTGAGCTGAACATATCGCAAAATCCATTCGGCAAATATTGGAAAATGAGCTCAAGGTAGAGCCATTGAAATTCCAAAAAGTGCAAGAACTTACACCGCAACAGAAAGAAAATAGACTCAAAAGAGCTAAAGAGTTGCTTCGCTTGGCCGAAAGTGGTTAACTGGGGAATTTGGTTTTCTTCGATGAGAAAACATTCGCAGTTCAGCAGTTTGTAAACAAACAAAATGATCGTGTTTACTTGCCAAAGAGGTTAACTGAAAATGTGCACATTCGGCCACCAGAACTCAAGCACCGGCCATGGTGATGGTGTGGGCCGCTATAACAGCCGATGGTCACTCTCCGCTCGTATTATTCGACCGTTGCATCAGAATAAATGCGGAATATTATCGCGAAAATAATCTGGAGGGCACGCAAACATTTTGGCCGCAGACCTTGGACATTCCAACAGGACTCAACATCATCGCACTCAGCACGCGTCACCCTAGAATGGTTAAAAAATTAGGTCCCTCGCTTCCTTTCCAGCGCACAATTTTCACCAAAATCTCCGGATACCAATCCGTTGGACTATTTTATCTGGAGTATTTTGGAAAGCAAGGTTGGCACTAAAAAATACCAAAGATCACCTCAAGCAAGCGCTTCACCGGGAATGGGCTAAAATACCACAGAGCAACATTCGGGCAGCGTGTGACGGTTTCATTGGCCGTTTGAATGCCATAATTCGTGCCAAAGTTAACCGATTCAATAAATCTAAACTTATTCTAAAATTTAATGCCATTTCCGACGTTTTTTGCTTTCATTCAATAAAATTAAAAAATGTCCGAGGAGGGCATTCATCTTATAATTACTGATAGCATCTATGGCTGCATCGGTATGAATGTCACTCAGACCTGTCTGATAGGCTTCTTGATCTAGAGTTTCTCTCTTATAGCGTTGGCCCTCCCTGTCTAGATCGTGTATGTCCTTCCTGATACGCCCATCATAAGATGGTTGGGATGACTCTCACTATAACAACCAAGCAGGTACTGCAACGAAAGCATATGATTATGGTCCACTGGTGTCATGAGAAGGCACCCTGTCACAGTTCTCAGGGCAGCATTCTGGTAGGTTTGGATGTGCTTCCACTGGGCAGCACTAGTATTCGCAGACCACACTGGAGCCCTATAGCTGACCATAAACCGACATATCGCGCGTTATAAGAGGTCAACGAGGTTTCTTTGTCCGCACTTTTTATCTCGTCGCATATAGCTGTGGCCTGCGCGGACGACTTGGACGTGCTGTCGAATGTGATCCCTATAATGTTGGGGTAGTTCGTGGCCGATATTAAATTTCCCTGATTTCATCTCCGCAGACCATGTGGTTAAGAATGTGACCGTTGATTTCGTGGCGGATATTTTAATATTCCTCGCGTGGAAATATGCGGCAAGTTTCGCGAGAAAGGGGTTCAACCTTTCACATATGTCATCTTGATATCTTCGGATAAAGAGGCGGATGAGTTCATTGAATTTATTCAGAAAAGGATTTAGATACAGATACAGACATTGAAGCTTTATGGAGAGCAGGTACCTAGAAACTTCATCAATTTTAATAAGGAGTTTGACAGACTCTGGGCAAATCAAGCCAGCTCATCAGCTGGTACCTCAAAAAGGACCATTCAGCGGAGTGATGACATGATTTCGCTTTGTACTTTCTATGAACTTCGTACACTTGGGATTACCTTGTGTCCACGACACTAACTCAAGAGTTCTCTTTTGCCTCTTTAATTTTACCGCACTAACATTGCTTGAAATTCCGAAATTAAGAGAAGCATTCGAACTGGTCGTTGTTGAACGAGCTTTGCATGTCTATCAGAATTCTGTAAATCCGGTTCTAACTGTACGTTCTAAAATTCTTCCTTCTTCGCAGGCTGCAAACAAGGATCTTCTGAGGTAGGTTTGTGCAGGCCTGTATCATACGCCAATGGACGTTTCACACGCCTTCATTAATTCGTGTCCACTACGAACTGAGTCGACTGCACCATACTGGGCATATTTTCGCTGTTTTGTCTAGACGGTCGACGTTCTGCTGAAATATATGAGGGGTGAACTCCGAAGATGAATGTTCTTAGACCTGCCTGATAGTTCTCATGATCTAGAGGCTATCACTTATACAGTTGGACATCCCTCTAGATCATGCAGGCGCTTCCTGATATGTCTAGATGGAGAAGTTCGGTCGACCAAATAATGGTTAGAATGACTCCCACGATAGCTCCCAAGCAGGTACTGCAACCAAAGCATAGTAATATTCAGACGAAGGTACCCTGTTTCAGTTCTCAGGACAGCAACGTTTCCATTATGGAGACGAATATCAAGAGATTGGGTTAAACCTAAGAGAAAAAGGGGTTAAATCTAGCGAACTGTAACACTCTCCTCTTATTCGGTTGGGCATACTCGTGGAATTTGGGTCAATCAATCAGCTACGCCAACGCTGATCCTCTCTGTTCATTATCTAGGACGGAATGTAAAAACTCATGGCGGCCTAGTATCAGGCCTTTATTGCCTACCAACAGCGGTCTAATGTTTGGCAAATAAAGCGGTTTACATTTATTAACCTGCGGGATATACACATAAAACACCTCTAACTCGGCAGTTTCACATTTGACGGCTACTCCCCCTACATTCTATGTATGGGTCACTAGAACTTGGCTCAAGCACTAATTGTTGAAGCACGTCGCAACATAATCCCTTTCGCCGTAGTCTAGCAACCTACTTAAACAGGCAAAAATTCTAAAGTTCACACATTTTCTGCATCAATTACAATGCACAGCAGGTTCAGCGTTTCATTCCATCCCAGGCAGGTTTAGCGTTTCAGGTCAATCCGTTATCGTAAAACCCGCTGCCGTGCCATTATTCAGACCACCTCTTTCTCAGTGTGAAAATTCATATTCAGAAGTCACTGCCGCATAATCCTACCAGATTATTGCATTCCATATATGAATTTGGAGGTTCTCTAATCTGATATAAAGATATAAAGCTACATATTTTTCGCATTCAAAATTGAAGTCTCCTTTCACGAATCGGCAGAGTTTGAATATTTTTATTCTTATTCTTCAGTTTCGCATCTATCGCTCTTCTGAATCCTTTTCTATCAGAATGTTGAAGATTTCCAAAAAGACTGACTTGTTGCGTTCTAAACAACATTTTTTTTTATAGAGAACTAAAAATTTTTTTATGGCACAAAATTACCTCGTATACCTGTCCGAGACTCTCAGTAAAAATTTAAAATTATTGAAATATACATAAATCATTCGGTTTCCTTCCTTCCTTTGACTGTCGTTTTAGTAACGGCAAAAAAAATTAACTCACAATTCAGCCATTTGTAAACATTGCCGCAAAGCCGCTGACTTTTTGCAACAAAATTCAAATTACAGAACCCTACCGCAACCGGCGATGCAATTCAGTATGGCTCGGTTCTCTGCAAGTCGTGGTTGATAACACATAGTGAAAAAGAAAAAAACTAAGAAAAATATATAAACAACAAGTGCAAATAGTTGATAAACGTGAATTAAACAGTTGATTTAACAAAATCCCATCGCAATATTTATGAAAACAAATTGATTTTGTGTCGTACTAAATTAATAATAGATTTTACTTTTTTTGGGTAAACGACCAAGAAAGAAGTCTTCTCATCATTTTGTGTTTTGGTGTGTGTTTGTGTGCGTGCGTGGTAGAAAGAAACGACGAGAAAACAAAGATAATTTCGTTCGGCATACAATTGAAAAGAAAGAAATACTAAAGAAAACACAACAAACAAAATTTTAATATATCTATTTGTTTTTTTGATTAATTTGTAGTGTTGAGAGGTGAATTTTGTTTAAATGTTATATGTACTACTATAAGCAAGCAAGAAGATCATAAAAGAAAAGAAAAAACAATCATTTGCATGTAGAATTTGTTGTGTATATTTTGGTACACAAAGGCACGGGTTATTTTGTATTTGTTGCTTGTGTGTGCGTGCGTGTGTATGTCAATTTTCCTTCCAATTGCATTTGTGTTGTCCTATAAGACATTTTTTCTGTTTTTGCGTTTTGTCTCGTCTCGTTTGCCTTGTTGTTTTGTTTGTGTTTTTTGTTTTTTTGTTTCAAAAGAAAATAAAACACTGTTTCTGTTTTCTCTAACAAAGAATAACAGAGAATTGCAAAAAATGAAAAATGGCACAAATTGGGAGAGAGAGAGTTTGAGTTAAATGCGAAAAAGTGTGGTTATGTTGAAAGTATTTTGCGACATGGATGCCGGGTAAAACAATAATAACGCCGATAAAGCTTGGTCGTGTGAAGTAATGTTTATAACTCTTAAAATACTGGAGACATTTAATGATATTTCCCTATTTAATAGTGGCGGACATGACGAAGGCTTTAAGATCAAATAAGTATATATTCCGTTTGTGGAAATCAATTGAGCTTCCGAACGAAATGATGTAGGTTGACAAGATTTAACTTAGATTTTATTTTTGATCGGTAGAACTTTTGTTATTGAAAATGGGCTTCTTAGGTCTACGTTTTGGTATAGCTCCCATATAACTGTACCGGCATTTTAGGGTCTTTTGGTTGTTTTAGTTACGATTTTAATCTGAATTTGCTGTAAATTGGCAGTTTGTGTTGTCAGTTGGTGGGAAACATCATCGCAGAAAACTGTACATATTGGTTTAAGTTTTGATAAAGAGCCCATATAAATGTACATCCAGATATTCTGCTTTCTGTCGCACTTTTCAGACAGAAATTTTCCTATATGGGCCCACATCTTCGCATAGTAATCATATAACGGTATCTAACGATATTCCGTATTTGTATGATTTATACCACATTTTTCGGTGGAATTTTTTTCAAATTTTAAGCTCGCAATGGGTACCTCTTTCTACGACATTTCTTGTTAAGGTACAGGTCATCATATAGCCTCATTACTTCCTACATTCAGTATTTTTCTATACTGTTTACAAGATATGTATCTTAAAATAGATATTTGTTGTTCGTAATAGGCACCACCTTCTCTACCTACAACGCCCGATTTTCCGTTCTTGAAATTTTGTACTACAATTTTTTCAACACAATTCTCATTGACGCATCAATTGAAGCTGATCTGTCTCAATAGCAGGGGTGCTCAAAACCGTGTTCTAAAACATGAAGAGAAAAAAGAGATAATTTAAGAGAAAATTAAAATTATGTTTTTCTTTTTATTTTACGGTTCTATTTAATTGTTTTTAAACACGAATGTTTGCCAAAATAGTTTATAAAGCAAATGGATAAAAAATATTTGTATAAATAATGACTTAACACTGTTTTGTTTTTGATTTAAATAAGCAAAGAGAAATTTGACTGAAAACAGATATTTCTTCTTGAGCACCGCTGCAATAGTCTTGCTAATTTCAATTTATATGCAACGCTATCAGAGAGTCGAATATCGCAATACTCTCTTACATTTCTTCAAATATCATAAATATATCGGTTTTCTCATTAGAAATTAACCAAAAACGTTTTAAAAATTCATAACAATTTAACAACCAATTCTTGACGCCGTAACTCTATTTTATATCGTCGACGGCTGCTGACTCTCAGTGTAGTGGTCATCGAAATCTCTCCGTTGTTTTTTACATTTACTTGGCTCCATACTCTCACATTCGGTCTGAGAAGAAGCGGAGAAAATTGCAAAAAGAAATTTAACAAAAATAAACAAAATAAATTAATTGTGCTACACAAAAAAGTACTGTAAATACTTTCAATTTATATCAAGCGGAAAACAAATCAATATAAATAAAGTGAAAAAGCGCCAAAATTGTAACAAAGATAAAACAATAAGAAATTCTTTCTTTCCTTTTTTTGTGGTGGACGACTACCGTACCGTTTGTGTTTCGTTTTCTCTTTTTTTTAATCGCGGACATATTTTTCCATATTGCCGAAAAGAAAAAAAACAAAAAAAAAGTTTAAGATTTTGCTAACAAACCTCTTTAAGAAATCAAGAGGCGATTAATGTAAATTAAGTGTTTTTGTGTTGTTTTATCTTTTGTGTGTTTGTCGTCGGTGTTCTATAAAGTGTAATAAGAACCATTTTTATTGTTTTTGTTAAAAAAAATCTAGTTTAGCGCCAATGTGAGACAGTGTGGCCTAATTCTTAATTATTGGAATTTTATTGTTGTTGTTTTTGTTTTAATATCATGGAAAATTAAAGATGTCGTCGGCATTACATATTTATGGAGTTGTGGATGAATTCCCTTTTAGGGGTTTCTTGCCCTTTACGTAGTAGAGTATTGTGATTTGACCCCCTATTAAAATGTTCATACACTGCATCCCTATGGAAAATGGACTCCTTATGGCAATTTAATGTTTCATGAAGAATTGTGTCTATTTGAATACATTTCAAATTCGCCCATATGTCTTAAATTCCTTTGTGGTTTTAAGTTGTTCTCGTTTCGTTAGTAAAAAATAGGTAGGTTATGTTGAGAATGTGTCACATATCCTGCCTATGGCTACGTTTACAGTAGACCCCTTTGCTATTTTGAAAGTTGATGGAGTATTTTGTCCTGATAAAGGTCATAAATGTAAATAAGTCTTTCTGGTTTTCGGCATATTTCGACTCCAGTGATATTTGTGTTCTATATCACAATCTTTAAAACTCAAAATAATTATAAAGGGGTTTTCAAGTAGGAGTTAGTATTTTGGTATCCAAAGGAAAATGCAATTCTTTGAGATAACGGATCGGATATTGATTTTATAACGAAGAGGAGGTTATGGCGCCAATGACTCCATTACATGGTCATATCCTTTTTAGGAAATTTTTAATCATCGAAGTATTTGTATAATTTGGTTTCAGGATACTCAGTTACAAATTCGAGAGTCGGCATCTGCTTCACTAGAACACCTTTGGTCCATTGTGTTCATTCTAGGAGCATTAAAGTTTTGGTTAGAGGAAACATATACAGGGTGAAATAAAAAACCATTGTGCGGTGGAAATGAAGCGAGAAACCTCATTTTGTAACCATTCTTGGATGGCGCGTGCTGAGTCCTGTTGGAATGTCCAAGGTCTGCGGCCAAAATGTTTGCGTGCCCAAGGCTTTAATATACCCCCTCAGAATATTTTCGCGATAATATTCGGCATTTATTCTGATGTCATGGTCGATTAAGACGAGCGGAGAGCGACCATCGGCTGTTATGGCCGGCGCTTGAGTTCTGGTGCCCAACCGAGGGTGCACATTTTCAGCTGACCTCTTTGGCAAGTAAAGACGATCATTTTGTTTGTTTACAAACTGCTGGACAACGAATGTTTTCTCAACGGAGAAACCCAAATTCGGCAGTTCACCACTTTCGGCCAAGCGAAGCAACTTTTTAGCTCTTTTGAATCTATTTTCTTTCTGTTGCGGTGTAAGTTCTTATACTTTTTGGAATTTCAATGGCCTTACACCGAGCTCATTTTTCAATGTTTGCCGAATGGAATATTGCGATATGTTCAGCTCATGAGGCATTTTTCCGCTATCGGATCACGTCGCTTCTCTACTTTTCGAACCATTTTTGCTGATATTGCTGTTTTCTTCCGTCCACTTCCTTGACGTCGGGCTACGCTACCAGTATCACGTTAACGAGCGATGGTACGAGACACAAAAGATTTATTCACATTTGGATGTTGTAGTGCTCTAACAATAGCCACTTGTGGTTTTCCAGCCAAATATAAAGAAATCACACTATCACGGTTGAATTTCATCACGAATAATTTTTTTCTGGAAAATTCTCAGCAAAATGCTTTTGTACGCTTGTAAACATAAACATATAATGAGCTGTCACTGGAATAATTTTAACAGCTATCGGACGAGTTGCTTAGAAATGAGAGCAGTCTGAAGTTGGTTGCAGTTTTTTCATCTCACCCTGTAATGTCATTAATCCCAGGAGACCTCATAAAATCTTAGGGTAGCTTGCTATCCTTCCCACAAGTCTCTCAGCTTCAGCTGTGCAATCTAGAGAGGGAGTTGGAGATTACTTACTGCCACCTATATCCTTGCCAAGGGAGAAGTGCGTACCAGTATTTTACGAAATCTGGTTGCATTATCCACTACCTCTATAGACTCACAGAAGTTTCTTTTTTTAGTTCAGTTTTGTACTTATTAAAATCTGCTTTATAAGTACAACGTTAAGTTGTGCTGGTATTTGCTATATGACGTCCTTGTTGTTTTCCGAAGAATAGTAAGGTCCTTAGTCCACCAAACCAGCTGGGATTTCCTCCCAGTGTAAGTGATTGGACAAAACTTCTCATAGTTTGAACGAAGAAGATTTGAAACAATATTCACCACTCTCTTGCAGACCACCACTGGTTGATTGCAGACCTCGAGGTTCATGTTTCAATTCTGTTGTAAGAGATTGAAATTTGACCCAGTCTGTTCCTAGATTCCTATAGGATTTCTGTCTGACAGCACATTTAGCATTTGGCCGTAAAAATATGATCTTGTGTTCTGAAAAAGAGCATTCAAGAGCAATCACTTCCCTCCTTTACCCTTATGGGTGTTTGATTCATATTCTGCGATCCTACAACTCCATAAATGTGTTTTTTTTTTAAAGCTAAACATAAACATTGTTTATTTAATTAAAACTCATTTTATTTTTTGTTCCTCGACTGCAGACCAACCACTGTTTTAAAAACTCGGCATAAAGAAACAACTATTGGATGCAACCAGGTTTGTTGCCCTCCACTTGTGTGTTTATAATAACATTTGTATATATTCATTTGTTTTTGCTGCCATGCTATTATATTTTTTGCTTCCATACAACACCGACTCGAAATTAACAAAGCTTTTAATAGACACAAATTTCCTTTTTGAAGTAGCAGACATTTGTTCATTAAACTTCTTGCTTGTGTTCTAAGTTGTTTTCATTCTGTTTCTTATTTGATGTTACTCGTCTATGTTTTTGTTATCCTTTCTCGTAGCATTCGTTTTTGCCTAAAACAAAACTTTACATTGTTGCTTCCTCCACAGTAGTTTTATTGCTCTTTGTTTCTTTCGTGTTTGTTAAACTAATGACTTTTGACTTGTTGTTTTCTGTAGTTTAGTATGCTTTGTGTCAGTTTTCTTGTTTGTGTTTTGTTGTCTTCTTCTTTATTTAAGGTCCTTTGTTGTTATTTTTTTCATTTCATTTATTCCTTGTTCTACGTCCTTTTATCCTTTCATTGTTTTAGTTTCTCCGATTTTCCATTTCAGTCTGTGTCCATTTAAATTTAAAGTTTGCAAAAATATTGAATGAATGTTGTTGGCTCAAACTGACGACAACAAATACGACGAAGACGACCTCTAACCCGACATGACCAAATCAACATGGCATTGTTATTGTTTTTGCCTCAGTGTGTGGTTAATATTTTTCTTTGGTTTCATTGAAATTGCTTTCCGTTTTGTGTGGTTAACCAACCACAAATACTGGATCAAGCATTGAAAGTTTTGTTGTTGTCGTTCTTTGTAATGACGTAATGACAAGTGCATTTGGTTTGAGGGAGGTCAAAAAGGTTACTTGCTGTTTCGTTATTTGCAGGATGCGTAAAGTGAGTTGTAGGCAATGAAATATTTACTATGGATGGGATTTAAAAAAAATCTTTCTGGAATAAGATTTTGAAATTTATCAATTTTTACACTCTAGCTGTAATATGAAAATTATGAATATAGTTTTTATAACCCGATATTTTTTTGGAGGCCCGCATGTCTGTGCTTTGTGCAACAAACCTCTCCAAGAGTCTACTCGATTTGGTTGAAACTTTTAATATCGTTATATTTTTGTCAAATATAGAAGTCAAACCTAGGAGTTTGTAAATGAGCGATAAACGATTACTTCGGTCCACATAAAAATTCTAAATTTCCAAAATATATAAATCTCATATAAAGGGAGTATCGGATTTAATTGTAACATTTGCATTCGACTAAGGTCAGGTGTGAAAATCTACCCGCTCCCTCTTGTAATTAAGATAGGACCATCATTTTAAATACACTTAACTAGCACAAAAATTCAACGCCCTTAGAGCCCTTTTCAATATTTGCCGAATGGAATATTGCGATATGTTCAGCACACGAGGAATTTTTCGGCCACTGCGACGCGGGTTTCGATCAAGTAGCTTCTTTACTTTTCGAACCATTTCTGCTGATGTTACTGTTTTCTTCCGTCCACTTCTTTGACGTCGGGCTACTCTACCAGTATATCAAATTTGGTATTTGAAGTTCGAAATGGATACTACAGCCTAAGACAAAAAATTGTCTGTGCTGGTCCACGTCTTCGTATAGCCCCCATATAACTGTATCTTCCGACATTCGGTATCTCGATGATTTTAGCGACATTATCCACCGGAATTGTTTCAAATTTAGTATATGAAGTTCGAAATGGATACTACAGCCTAAGGCAGAAAACTGTCTGTGCAGGTCCACATCTTCGTATAGCCCCATATAACGGTACCTCCCGACATTTGGTATTTTGATGATTTAGCGACATTATTAATCGGAATTGTTCAAATTCAAAACAAACTGTGCAGCTCCACGTCTTCGTATAGCCCCCATATAAAGGTACCTCCCTATATTCGGTATTTTCATGATTTTAGCATAATTATTCACCAAAATTTTTTTCAAATTACGCATTTAGAGTTCGCAATGGAAACTCCAGTCTGTGACAGAAAATTGTCTATGCAGGTCCAGGTCTTCGTATAGGCCCCGTGTACCAGTACCTCCCTATATTCAGTATTTTGACGAGTTTAGTTACAATACTCACCGAAATTGTTTGAAATGTCGTATTTGAAGTTCGTAACGGATGCTACAGCCTATGACAAAAAATTGTCTACACAGGTTCAGGTCTTCGCACAGCTCCGATATAACGGTACCTCTCTATACTCTATATTTTGATGATTTTAGCTATATTATTCACCGTTTATTTCAAGTTCCGAATTTGAATTTGGTAATGACTTATGATAAATAATGCCTGTGTGGGTCCACGTCGTATAGGCATCAATATAACGGTAATATTCGGTATTTTTAAAATTTTAACAAATTTTTTTCAGGGTTTTACTTCCAAATTCGTTCCAAATGGTGGAGTGTATTCAAAGTTCGGCCCGGCCGAACTTACTGCTTTTTAACTTGTTTCATATCACCTTGTCTTCTGAGACTGCGTCGGATTGAATACCATTCAGTCCTGCTTGATAAGCTTGTTGATATAGATGCTCTCTCTCTAGATCGTAAAGGTCGTTCCGAGTGGCTTAGAAATGACAGCAGTCTGAAGTTGGTTGCAGTTTTTTCTTATCACCTTGTCTTCTGAGATTGCGTCAGATTGAATACCATTCAGTTTCATATCACCTTGTCTTCTGAGACTGCGTCGGATTGAATACCATTCAGTCCTGCTTGATAAGCTTGTTGGTATAGATGCTCTCTCTCTCTCTAGATTATAAAGGTCCTTCCTTACGTGCTTTGCCGTATGACGCCTAACCACCACACAGTGATTGGAAGGGCTCTGTTTGTAACACCCAAACAGGTATTGCACTGACAACATTTTATTAGGCTGACGCACCGGTAATACCTTCGCATCCTCGTACAGTTGTCATGAAGAGGCATCCTGGCAGGACTGAATATCTCACCTCTGCGTAGCACTAACGATGTAATGAAGAGGCATCCTGTTGCGGTTCTGAGGGCGGCATTCTGGCAGGACTGAATATTTTTCCACTGTGTATAACTAACATTCGCGAACCATACCGGAGCCTATCGCGTTGTAAGAGGTCAACAAGGTTTCCTTATCAGCTCTTAAAGTACTGCCTGCCAGAGACTTGATAACCTTCATGATACTTCTAATCTTGTCGCAGATATGCTACAGTTATGACTTTAAGAGCCAATCGAAGGAGGCTATCGGTAGGTGGTGGTCGGGATTGCAACACCTGCTCATTCAACGATAACCTCATCTCCGTAGTTCATGTGGTAAATAGTGTGGTCGTTAACGTGGTGGCGGATAATAAGAATTACGGTCCGATAATGTCACCAGTAGTTAAACCGCGCCAAACTGTAACTTTTTCTGAATGAATTTGTAGCCTTTGGAAATCTACTGACTGATCTTCACACTAAAATCTGCAATTTTCTTTATTTACGCCCATGTCAATGTCACCAGTGGTTAAACCGCGCCAAATTGTGACTTTTCTTGGATGCATTTATAGCCTTTGAAAATCTTCTGACTGATCTTCACTCCAAAATCGGCAATTTTCTTTATTTACGCCCATTGAGCTAAAAGTGATCTTCGTCGCTGAAGACAGGAGTCCCGTGATGAAATTTCTTAATATAGAACATATTTTGATAATTACAGGATTTCCATTGATACAATTAATACAAAAACACACCTGTTTCTAATATTTGATTAAATTGTTAATTAATTTTGTTTGTCTTGTATTTAAGTTTTTTTCCTTTAGTAGATTGTTTGTAGATCGTGGATCATTGAACGCATTGTAGAATTGTTACCCTATGGCCACTTTTTCCTTTCTCTCTCTTCGTCTGCTTTGCCAAAATTATTGAACGTTCGCACCTAGTAGATGTAGTTATTGACACTCTCTCCAATTTGCAAAATTAAATGTTAATTTTTTTAGGATCCTCCATTATAAAACCTCATTAATTCTATTTTATTTTACTTTCTTAGTTATCAATAAGAAACACACGCACACACAATCAACAAAGGAATCATCCATCACAACACCAAAAATCATCAACATCATCATCACCACCACCACTAACAACTCATCATCTCATCAGCATATATTACCTGCAATTTTCATTTCATTTATGCGCCCTTCAATTCTGACAAAATAAACTAAAACAAAGGCTAAAGAAAACAACAGACCGAACGAACCGAACCGAACTGAAGAAACCAAAGAATTATTTAATTTCTACAAAAAAACATAACAACAAGGACTCGCTGCAATACATTCTATTTTGTTTTCTGTACCACATACAATCTTTCATCTAGCAATCAAACAAACGAACAAACAAACAAATATTTGTTATTCCCAAGAACTTTTGAAGAGATATTAATCAATCAATACCAATACTTTATTAATATTCTTTGCAGAGACGCTTATCATCAGGCGGTTATTATGAAAGGTTATAATTTATTACAAATCATACAAATTTCTTCTATTTCTATTACGCCTATTTACATATTTATGATGTTCTAATTATTATTTTTCCAATAATGTAAAATAATTTAATTCCATTGTATTTTCTTTTGTTGTTTTTTTTTTTTTATCAAAAAGTGACATTTTTTTGAAAGCTTTCAAAGAAAAGCTTTGTTTTTGGAATTAATCTTGTGTTACTTACCTATCTATACATATTATATTTCTTCTTTATTCTTTCTCTCTAAATTTTATATTTTAATGTTGTTATTTACAATTTATTCATTCATTATTAAATTTTAAGATAACAAATGTGCCAGTGAAATGCAAAACGGCGTTGGTACAAAATTTAGAAAAATGACTGTGTTTAGAATAAGTTATAAGAAAGAGGGAAGTGTTCTCTCTAATCAACTTTTATAAGGTTATTCGGGTCGACATATATTGACAATTGTGTAAATATTAAAAAACGGCATGAATACATCTAAACGTATTAAATTCATCGCAGATAGCGTTGGCTTGCGCGGACGACTTGAAGATGCTGTTGAATGCGACCCCTAGGATTTTGGGGTAGTTAGTGGTTTGAAATAAATTTCCCTCAACCTACATATTCAGCTGTATTCTCATCTCCGCAGATCGTGTGGTAAAGAGTGTGGCCGACTTAGTGGCTGACATTTTCATACTTCTCCCGTGGAAGAAGGCAGAAAGCTCCGCTTTAGACATATGTTATCTGTGCACGACGCCACGACCTCAATTCCGAATTCTGGAAAGTTAGAGGCTAAGCAGTTCGAATATATCACCCCAATTTGGGGACCTCAATGTTTCAGCATTTCACGTACGACTGGTGTCCAACGTTTCAGACTTGGCCAAATGTTGCTATGCGGTGTTTTGGCCCACTCCAGTTTAAGCGCTTGCTTGGGGTGATCGACACTTTGGTATTTTTTTAGTGCCAACCTTGCTTTCCAAAATACTTCACACACAATAGTCCAACGGATTGGTATTCGGAGATTTTGGTGGCCATTGTACGCTGGAAATGAAGGGGGAACCTCATTTTGTAACCATTCTTGGGTGGCGCGTGCTGAGTCCTGTTGGAATGTCCAAGGTATGCGGCCAAAATGTTTGCACGCCAAAGGCTTTAATATACCCTCCAGAATATTTTCGCCATAATATTCTGCATATATTCTGATGCCACGGTCGATTAATACGAGCGGAGAGCGACATCGGCTGTTATGGCGGCCCACCCCATCACATTTTCAGCTGACCTCTTTGGCACGATCATATTGTTTGTTTACAAACTGCTGGACAAAGAATGTTTTCTCATCGGAGAGAAACCAAATTCGGCAGTTCACCACTTTCGGCCAAGCGAAGCAACTCTTTAGCTCTTTTGAGCCTATTTTCTTTCTGTTGCGGTGCAAGTTCTTGCACTTTTTGGAATTTCAATGGCTTTACCCCCAGCTCATTTTTCAATATTTGCCCATATGGAATATTGAGATATGTTCAGCTCACGAGCCACTGCCACTTTTCGGCCACCGCGACCCGGGTTTCGATCAAGTTACTTCTTTAATTTTCGAATCATTTCAGCTGATGTTGCTGTTTTCTTCCGTCCACTACCAGTATCACGGTAACGAGCGATGGTGCGAGACACAAAAGATTTATTCACATTTAAATGCTGAAGTACTCTAACGATAGCCACTTGTTACTTGTATTGCTCCCAATATTCCAACACTTCCGAAGGTCTAGCTACTTTTTCTTCTTATGCTCCTGTGCCGATCGGTTCAATCTGGGTTGGAACGACGGAGATCATCACGCTCATTTGCTAGTCCCGCTACCTCTGCTTTGAAATAGTGTCTTATTTCAGGTATTCAACCAGCCGGAAAAACCTTTCTGCTACGCGAATATTATAGAAGGGGTGGGCGTAGGTTTATGAACTTAATGAATTCTTGCCAATAAGCTTTGAAATCGAGCGATTTGCTTATGGAAACGATTATCGAGATATGGACCCAAGAGAAATGAAGAATGTGGAGAAATCACATTGCTCTGCCAAAGCTTATCCCCTCATTAAAATCCACTAGTATCAGGCTATTATTGCCTACCATCATTGGGCTAATGTCGGGTCTATAACACGGTTTACAGCAATTAACTTGACTGCCACCACATACATGTATGGGTCTGCTCTGCCAACGCTTATCCCCTCTGATAATAAGCTAGGACGGAATGCCACAACTCTTGGTAGGCATTAAAATCCTGTAGTATCAGGCGGTTATTGTCTACCATCAATGGGCTAATGTCGGGTCTATAACACGGTTTACAGCAATTAACTTGATTGATATCCTATACATGTATGGGTCACTAGAGACCGGCTTAAATTAGATAGGTCTACATTGAATAGAATGGTGTAACAGGAACGCTAACCCCCTACAACCACTTCTGGTGCGATTCTTTCTCAAAACATTGTATCAATAAGAACGTTGTAAAGCGAGATTTTCATGGAGTTTGGAGTTTCCTGCACTGCTGCGATCAGAGTATTATTCCCCTCATTTATAGATTCCGTTATTTAAAAATTGATGCTCAATTCGTAATTGAATAACCAAATGTGGAGTATTTTGCTTTGGTATTGGTTGCCTTCGGTAACTTGAGGTGGAGTTCCGTATTCTGACGACGACTCAGATGATGACTCTCGTGAGGCCAACGAAGACGTGGACCCGCTGTGGGCTACGTTGCTACAGCACGTCGCAACATAATTCCTCTCTCGATAGCCTCGAAACCGACTTAATTTGGAACAATTTCTGAAGTGCACCCAATCTATGATTTTTTCCATCGCACCGAGAAATGTCTGTAGTGGGAGACGTTCTAACAAACCGAAAAGAACCAAGGTCCGGGGTTTTGTTCGATCCCTGCACGGACCAAAAGAATCGGGAGCCGGCTGTTTGAGATATGCTGCTTCTAAAGCAGAACTATAGACAAACACTGCCGAAACTGAGATGTTGCTGTTTTTCGGTACCCCAAAACCCGCTGCCATGGCATTGGCTGTAATTTGACTTATTCATAAGCGTTCAGATTACATTATGATCTCGACAATTTAAAGGAACAATTTTCAACCGAATAACCGAATGAGAACCCGCCTCATGTTTCGACGAAAGTCCCATATATCGGCTCTCCTCGTGACTAGCCGAATTTAATGTTGTTTTAAGGTTGTTAGTGACGTTTTCCTCAAACTAAGTTGGTTCTATTTCTGCCATATGGAAAAGAAAACTCCGCAAATATTTCCAAAGACATAAACCGATCTTCTACAAACATAAGACCTCGTTTTATTCTGTTTATCAAATTCCTCGATCGGGTCTACGAAATAAAAAGCTAAGTGAATTTTGCACTGAGATGAATCATTTCAAGTAAAGGATCTCTAAATAAAAGGACCACATTATCTAATCCAAATCTCGCGCATGTATCAGAAAATACTGCAAAGAATTCTGGCCATTTTAGAATATGATTCTGATTACCTCCCTGCACTTACTACATGAGGCACTGTTTTTAGTCGCTTATTCAAGAAACTAGCCATAGTTGCTCTCGGCTTTTTAACAGCTAATTTATCAGACCATGTGCAAAATGATTTTTTGACACTGAATATTAAGACAATGTACAAAAGAGGTATGGTTAACGAAATAAATATCTCCTGAAATAATGTATAAAGTTAACTGGCTTGCATTGCATTCACGCATCATACATATAAGCTTATGCTGCTGCACATTCATGCTCATTGAAACACCTAAAGATAATTTTTCTATGTGTACAATAATATGCAATTACATATTTCTATCTCCCTGTGGATGCGCTCATTTTGCACAGTGTAACTTCTCTCTTTGTATTTATTTTATGCTAACCGCCAAATGTATATTTGTGTGCCAAGTACATTTTCCAGAGCATAACAAATGCGTGTAAAGTAAGCTAACCGAATATTAAAGTTACAAATATGTTTAATGTAAATTAAAAGACGAAATGTTTCTAATTTTTTGTTACCAAAGAAAAAAAAAAACTGAAAAATAATATGCCCCCAAACCGCTTTGCATTTCATTGTCTAGCACAACATTATTTCAATCATCTAAAATCTATTTATGTAGAGGCAATATATTTATATTTCAATTTATTTCTTCGCCATAATACAACAATATTCTTTCCATTACGTATTTAGGCAACCTATATAAAATGTCTCGTAACAAGGACAAATATGAAAGTGCAAATCGTAGACAACAGATCTTTATGTCACCTGAAGATGTGGCTGCTGGCAAAAAATCCAATTGGACAGGCATTGAAATTACAGGTTGGTATATATATTCTCCTTTGTATTTTGGTGCTTTGAGTTATTAATATCGTATTTATTTGATTTCCAGGTTGCGTTCGTAACATCAGTCCTTCTCTGTGGGAATTTGAACACTTAACCGCACTATATTTAAATGATAATCATTTATTACGTTTGCCCGCCGACATTGGCCTATTGGTAAATTTACGCACATTGGACGTATCAAGCAATAAATTGCGTAGCTTGCCAGCAGAATTGGGTGAATTGATACAATTGAGGTGAGTCGAAAGGACAATAATATTTTGAACGAAACTTTTAAAATTATAAAAGATATTTGAAGTTTTAGAGAGGGAAATATATTGGATTCAGCAGTCTTTAATTCACATTGGTTACATTAGGTCGGGCCTCTTGGATTACATCCTCCATAAAGAATCGAACGTACTGACAATATATTAAATTTTTGTAAAATTTTTCGCTACGAACACACTACCATTTGTAACATAATCTAAAAACATTATGAATAGGTTATTATAAAATGTGGACGAGTTGCACAAGAAGTTTTTATATCCTGAGAATCATAACTTTGACAATTTGTCGAATCCATAAGAATGTGAGGCAACGCTTTTATAAAGGGCTCGAGTGAAGAATATTGGGGTTCCAATATTGTAATATAGCAGTTTGCCACATCTTTCACTGCCTTATATGTGCTGTTTCTTTTATTTTGATACACTTCACCCTATAGTATATTTACATTTTCATTCCGTTTATAGATCTTCAAAATCTCTCTTAGGCTCTTCAAAGTATAAGTATATATTAAGTATATATTCGGACTATTTTAAAATAAAATTGAATAATGGATAACATTTGGGGCATATATTTCATTTGAGAGTATGCAGGTCATGTTTGAAGATATGCAATATACACATTTCTAATTCGATTGACCCATGTCCGTCCTTCTGCTGTAATTACGCTATCATCTGAATGAGTTGAGATGCTGTACTACGGTTTTCATTTAAGTGGTATTTTTCAACGGATGTTTTGAAATTATTCAAGATCTTTCAAAATGGTGGATGCCCGGCCGAACTAACTGCTTTTTTACTTGTTTTTGATTCCGAACTTAGATATAATGATACCCCCCTCATTTTAACATTTCGACAATTTTCTGTACATTCGTCCGGAATTTGGTATTTAAAGGTTGTTACGTGTTTCTAACCTCCTTGATATAAACAGGTTATATAGGTCCATATTGTAGTATATCTTCCATATTTTGATTTCGCATGTAACATGGCCGAACATTTCAATACATAAATTCAGTACATTTTTATTGCTAAGGTCAAAATGTGTCTCATCGAAGTAACATTTATAAATTATATATCTCAGCAATCAGTTTCAGTGATCTTGATATGGGTCATATCGGCGCACTTTGCCAAAAACCTCCATTTATTATTAATAACACTTATGAGTATAATAGGTGAAACAATTTTTTTTTTATCGAAATGACGTGCATTTCATTTCGTCTCTTCAGGCATTTCATATCTAAAAGCCAAGCAAAAATATTATAGGCGTCGTAATTTTTAATATTACTAGAAAGCTAAAAAAATATATCTTACAAAGCAAAATAACGTACTTTTATGTTAGCCCATTATGAATCAGAAGATCGCCAGTTTAACCTTTCCAACAGTTAAACATAATAGAGAAGTCAATAATGTAGTGAGATTTTTTGCTGAGTGGTTACACGGTACCCATGGAAAAGAGATCCGATCCGATTCAGGCAAGAATATTTCAAACTTTTTTCTGCCTCTATTACATTGGGTCAAAATTTGAGAATTGGCAAATATTGGCAAAAATAAACTTCTGTACATATAAGTACAACATCCTAGCTACAAAACTAGTTTCGAGGTGGTTATTATTTTCAAAAAAATTTCAGTCTTAGTAGGTTCGAAAATATATGAAAAAACGATTTTAAGTATATATAAAAGTATTGATTTTCAAATAAATTTCAAAAGATAATTTATTTTTAAAAGAAGTCCAATGACGCTACCAATGACATTTTTTTTTTTAAAATAGGTCCAATGACGCCACCAATAAGGAATATCAAATTCTAAAGTAAGACCATGAATGGATAAACTTGTGGTTTCCTCAACACTTGGGACTATAGCAGCAATATTTTCAATTGTACTTAAGTGAAGTGAATAGGTTTTTTCATGACATACCTAACTTGTCCCAATAGCAGCAACAACTTCAATATTGCGGTCCGAAAATGCTCTTTAAGACGACCCAAAAGGCTTTACTTTTGCCAAAAACTTCCATTTATTATTAATAACACTTATGAGTATAATAGGTGAAACAATTTTTTTTTTATCGAAATGACGTGCATTTCATTTCATCTCTTCAGGCATTTCATATCTAAAAGCCAAGCAAAAATATTATAGGCGTCGTAATTTTTAATATTACTAGAAAGCTAAAAAAATATATCTTACAAAGCAAAATAACGTACTTTTATGTTAGCCCATTATGAATCAGAAGATCGCCAGTTTAACCTTTCCAACAGTTAAACATAATAGAGAAGTCAATAATGTAGTGAGATTTTTTGCTGAGTGGTTACACGGTACCCATGGAAAAGAGATCCGATCCGATTCAGGCAAGAATATTTCAAACTTTTTTCTGCCTCTATTACATTGGGTCAAAATTTGAGAAATGGCAAATATTGGCAAAAATAAACTTCTGTACATATAAGTACAACATCCTAGCTACAAAACTAGTTTCGAGGTGGTTATTATTTTCAAAAAATTTTCAGTCTTAGTAGGTTCGAAAATATATGAAAAAACGATTTTAAGTATATATAAAAGCATTGATTTTCAAATAAATTTCAAAAGATAATTTTTTTTTAAAATAGGTCCAATGACGCTACCAATGACATTTTTTTTTTAAATAGGTCCAATGACGCCACCAATAAGGAATATCAAATTCTAAAGTAAGACCATGAATGGATAAACTTGTGGTTTCCTCAACACTTGGGACTATAGCAGCAATATTTTCAATTGTACTTAAGCGAAGTGAATAGGTTTTTTCATGACATACCTAACTTGTCCCAACATCACCACCAACTTTAATATTGCGGTCTGATAATGTTCTTTAAGACGACCCAAAAGGCTTTACTTTTGCGAACTATGACCACAAGATTTTCACACTCAACTTTGTTGACTTAAAGCTTTGTTGAAGCGCGTATCATTTCATTTTTATCCAATCCACCATTTTATGTCCTCCGTGCTATGTTATATCCAATAAAATTCTATGACAATTTAGTCATGTCATGGTACAACAGTACCAACATTTAATGTATTTTTGTGGTTTTAGCCGCATATTTCAGCCGAATTCTCTGGAAAATGACAGTTTGTTACCCCGCAGGTAGAAAACCTCCTCCCAAAAAGTTGTTGATATAAGTCCAAGTAGTGTTATAGAACCAAGCCTCTCTATATTCGGTATTTTGATGATTTATGTTACAATTTTCAACCGATTTGTTTCAAATTTGGTATTTGGAGTTTGTAATATGTACCACCATCTCCTTTAGGAGAAAACTGTCTGTAATGTTTCATGGCTTCGTTATTTTTACAGTTCAAACAACGTTTTTTAACGGGGTTGTTGCAAAAATTATACTTGAAGTTGGTAGTGGGTATGACCATTACTCACAGAAAATCGTCTATACAGATCTACATTTTTTATAGCCTCATACAACACATGCTTCCGATATTTGATATTTGAATGATTTCACTATGTAAATATTGATCCTCGTCCTACGACCGTCATATATCGTCACTAAATTTTGCATAGATATGGTCAGAAAAGAAGTCTATTGTTTTTGTACCCTACACCACATAGTATTAAGGGTATTATGTCTTTGTGCATATGTTTGTAACATTGAGAAGGAAGCGAGGTAGACCCATAGTTATTTTTGAGTATCTTTATAAAATCACTTTCTGAGTCGATTTATGCATGTCAGTCAGTCCGTCTGTACATGTACTTTTGTAGACGAAATGTAGATCACATTAATTATCCGATTGAGATAAAATTTTCCAAAAAATATTTGTTTGGCCCAAGGACGAATCCTATTGAAACTGGTGAGAATCGATTCACATTTAGATATAGATCCCATATATATCTTCAACTGATTTCGGGTTAATTGTGCACCAAATGGCCAATATCAGTCCAAATGACCTACATTTTGGCACATCCGACCGAATTCAGTCTAGAAGCAAGTACATCAAATTTTGTGAAAATCGGTTCAGATATAGCTATAGCTCCGATATACATATATGTTTCATCCGATTTGGCGTTAAAGTCCCTCACATTCGTAATACGCACTCCATAAGAATAATATTTGGTACCAAAAATCAGATACAGCCCAGAAATACCTCTGCCAAATCTTATCGAGATCGGTTCAGATTTGGATTTGGCTCGCATATATATTTAACCGATATCGGGATAATTATGTACCAAATGGCCAATATCAATCCAAATAACCTGAATCACATCCGACCGAATTTAGTCTAGAAGCAGTCGATTCAGAATTGGATATGCCTGCATATATATTAGTTCCCTCTGAAACCAAATTAGAACTTCTCTAAGTTTATAGGTCGTATAATCTACTTCAAATAAATTATTTTGTTACGGTAGCTCTACTTAATATACATAGTGGTGTAGGGTACCATGTAGTCGCTTCCGCCCGACGTTTCTCTTTTCCTTACTGGTTGCGAATTACAATTGAAATGTTTCGAATTTACGAATGAAATGTTAACAATTACAACCCTTTTTTACTTTCCAAAAAAGTCTTGTTTTTGCTTTAGGAACATCCATTTTATGGCTTTTAGTAGAAAATAACTTTTTACAAGAATTTTAATTTTAACATCAAATTCTAATAAATTTTTATATTCTTCTATTTTCCAGAGAACTTTTATTGAATAACAATTTTCTCCGCGTATTGCCATATGAAATTGGCAAATTATTTCACTTGCATGTTTTGGGTTTAATGGGTAATCCATTACAAAAGGAATTTCTCTCCATTTACAATGAACCGAACGGTACACAGAAATTACTAACATATATGCTGGATAATTTGTCAAGTAAGTACAACGTTTTACAATTTTATTCTCAAATATTTTGTTTTTACATTTTAAACTAAATAACTGAACATACTGTGAACAATTAACGACCATGCTGGATTAGTTAACCGGAATTTATAAAATTCATGTGAAATTACAAATTTTTAAAATTGAACACAATATAAAATCCCATTTCGGGTGAGATTAGGTTCTTCAAATATTGTCTGTTAATTATTTTAGATTTAGATTTAGATTAGATTTTAGAGAAAAAAAAAGTTTTTGTATTGCGATACGAAGTGTAAATGAATGTCGAAGTCGTCAAAGGAATAAGGTAAATATATTTACGGTATAAATATATTTTTCCACTCCTATTTATGCGATCTTAAATATTTTAGGTTTTATTTTTGTACTTAGTGTGACCGAACATGTAAATCAAATTGTATAATACATTTTCATTACTGTCTAAAAAAAAGTATCAACATGATGGTATTGAGTTGAACAATTTCTGCCAACAATAATTTTCGCACAACAATATGCAAGCGCCAGTCGTCAGTCGGCCTCTAACAAAATATGCCAATGGACAAACACAAACGTTGGACGGATGTTGATGTATTTTTTGTTTTTTCTTCATGTTCATGTTTTTCAATGGCCGATTGTGATAAATTTCGCTTTCTTCTTTTGATATGAAATCTATGGGATACATTTAATCAAATTACCGCCACCATAAATAACATGAAGAGATCAAATAATTGATAATCAACAACTACGACAGAGTGACAATAGATAGATGGTTGGCGGGCTTGCCGGCTGGCTAACAGGCTGCTGTTATGAACGAATAAACATACATCGAAAACACAACCTCCCTCTCAGCGCCGTAGAAAAAAAATGCAAAAAAGACAATTTTGATAATCTCGTAAATCATTATTTTACAAACTCTCGCTATCATAAAAGACAACAAAAAAGTAGAAAATAAAAACAACGACATCAAAAATATTTCGTCTCGAAACAATGATGACGATAGTTAGTTTGTGGTGATGGCATTTAAACAACAATTTTCAAACTGGAGTGAACAACAACAGATGATGAACAGATCTCGGTGTGTTGCTGATGACGTTGTTGCCTGACATGGTGCTTTGCCAAACGGAAGGAAGGCGCGATGTGTCAGAGATGGAATTTTGGTGGGGGAAAATAGTTTAATAGCAATAGCCGGTAGTATTGAATGAATTTTGATTTGGATTTTTTTCTTTTTGAAAATTCTCCAAAAAAGCAATTCAAAATTAAATTAAAAGTGAGGTTTACAATTTGAAAATCGTGCGGACATATATGTTATTGCTGTTTTAGCAGTCATCTTGCTGTATTCTGCACCAGTTTCTGATTTTTCAGCCAATAGCCATGAAGTCAGTGCGGGCCCAAAGCTTTAGTTCAGATTTACAAAATGGAGCATCATGTTGACTTGCAATCTCCGATCTCTGATTTTTCGATCAGTAGGGTTATGCCGCCGAAACTTATCAAGACAATTTCTTCAGGTATTCGACTAGCAGGTCCATAGCGAACGGGTTGTAGCTGTATCGATGTCTCTGAAAAATCCTTCTGTTACCCGACCATTGGATTAAAAGACAATGAATGGCGTCTCCGAATTCAGACTAGTTAGGTCTCCTATATTGAGGAAAATGAGTCTATTGGGACTCCCCATAGGGCTCATCTATCGTACCTATCAACTGTCCTTCATAGAAATTCCCACCTTGTCGTCTGTGGGGTATCCATTCTACTCGCCTTCGCATCTGTGGAAATTTCGCTTCAGTTCGTCTATGTAGACCCCGCTTGTCTATATAGACTTCGCCTTATCTTGTCTATAGAGACTAGCTTCGGAGCTCGTTCAAAGAGACTCTAATTCAGACCTTTGTTTTAGTTCGTCCTTTATAGAAGCTTCCTTTTTCCGGCTTCTCTATAGAAATTTCCTATAAAGACCCGTTCCTCTTTAGAAGCTCTTTCCGGCTCCTCCGTAGAGAACATTTCCGCCTACTTTATATAGACTTTCACCTCTGTAGACACTCTCGTATATAATGTCTGCTCTCAGAGACTCCTTCCAGCTCCCTTCGGCATTCTCTAGATACAGCCATCAGCTTGTATAACGTGAACCTCTTCAGCTCTCCCTCCAAATTTCGTCAACTTTGACCCCATCCAGAGTTCGTTTAGAAAAATTATATACATTCCGTCTATACGGACTTCTTTCGCCTCCTGTATAGAGAATAAATCAGGCACTTCTAAGAGTCTAACTCCAGAGACTCCGGAGACTCTCTCTAGACTAACCGGAATCTAGACTCTCTTTACAGAAAATATCTTCGACTTTGCTATTTTACAGAGACTCCTTCCAACTCCCTCTGACTTTTCTCGAAAAAAAAAAAACAAGAATCTCTTCAGCTCGGCTATAAAGACTTCTCTCAGTTCTTCTAACCGGAATCTAGATTCTCTTTACAGAAAATATCTTCGACTTTGCTATTTTACAGAGACTACTTCCAACTCCCTCTGACTTTTCTCGAAAAAAAAAACAAGAATCTCTTCAGCTCGGCTATAAAGACTTCTCTCAGTTCTTCTATAAAGAATCTCCTTTGGTCAGCTGTAAAGAATTGTCTCAGCGTCTTCTTTCAATTTCAGTCTATGGACGCTGTTTTCATTTTGTCTATGGAGACTTCCTTCAGGTTGTATATGAAGACTCCATTCAGGTCGTTTGTGAAGATTGCCTTCAGCTCGCATGTAAATACTTCCTCCACCTCGTCTGTGGAGACTCTGTTCAGTTCGTCTGTGAAGACATCCTTCAGCTCGTCTATGGAGATACTCCTTTTCGCTCGTCTATGGAGAGACTGCCTTCAGCTCTTCTATGGAGAGACCAACTTCAGCTCTTCTATGGAGAGATTCCCTTCAGGTCGTCTATGGAGAGAATTCCTTCAGCTCGTCTATAAAGAGACTCCCTTCGACTCGTGTATGGAGTAACTCCCTTCAGCTCGTCTATGGAGAGACTCCCTTCAGCTCGTCTATGGAGAGACTCCCTTCAGCTCGTCTATGGAGAGACTCCCTTCAGCTCGTCAATGGAGAGACAGCCTTCAGCTCGTCTATGGAGAGACTCCCTTTTTTTAGAATGTCTGTGGAGACTTTCTTCAGCATGTCTTTGGAGACGTCTATGGAGACTCCCTTCAGCTCGTCTTTCAGCTCTTCAGCTCATCTGTGGAGACTTCATTAAGCTCGTCTGTGGAGATTCACGGCCCTACAATCTGTCGTGTGACATTTGTCAAATACCTAAGAGTTTTTGACAGTCCTTCTCTACTGTCAATTTGAAGAAGTTTTTATTGTTTTTGTTTGTGGGTTGCTTGCTTGGCCTTATGGCTGATGATTGAGAGGCTGCTGTGTCGCATAATGCCTTAAAGTAAAATGCAAGCTATTGCATTTATTTGGCTTGACTCTGCCTAGCTGGCTGACTAGATGCCTGCCTGCCTGCCTGCCTGCCTGCCTAACTGACTGACTTGACTGACAAACTAACTAACCGACGCGAGCTATTACTATTGCGGTGGAGTTGTAAAGTTTAAATCGATTAAACTGCTGCTGTCGCCTCAATTAACTGCAATTTTCTCGTGTAAAGTGAAATGAAAATGAAATTGTTTTTCTCGGTTTAGGATGTTTGTTGCTGCTGCTGTTTTCGATTTTTGTTTTCCTTTACTTGCTAGGCCAGAGATTGAGCTCCTTTTTTGTTGTTTGCATTCAATAGATGTGAGCAAGCTGCCTGCCAGACTTGATGTTCACCGGAGACCAGTTACAACAGCCACCATGCCACACTTAGTCATTCAATCGGCGGGTAGGCAGAAAAGCTCCCAAAAAAAAAAACCTACACCAAGCAAGTAGTAGCTGTTATTGCTCCGGGGCTTGTTATGTTTCTCCTCTAGTTATTGTCTTGTCTTGTTCATCTTTGCTCTTCCAGTTGACTAAAGTGGTATTTAAATTACAATTTAAGAAAATATTAAACGCCTTTGAATCGACAACAATTTTTGCTTAGCTTGTCCGCGCAGGCAATCCATGGCGGTGGCGGTGGTGGACTATGACAATGACCACAACCACAATGCCATCAGTAATAAGAGACGCGTTCAATTATGATGTTTTGCAAAGCAACAATATGCCTCGATTTTCTTGTTGTGGGCTACCCATTTCTTTGGCGCTGGCCGTAATATCATCCCAACCCGGTTGGTTGCCATCACCATCATCGTCATCATCATCAGTAAGAGGAGCTTTTTTTGCTACCATAAAACATTGTAATGACCAGCATTTGGACAGACAGTGGAAAAACACGACAACTGACCGCGCGAATAATCATTTAGTTCAGGCCACTCGGAGGCCAGTTACTGTTACTGCACCAGGCAATCAACTCTTTTAAGGAGTTTTCCCAACTTCAAGCCAGCCAACCAACCAGCCAACCATGGAGGCATTGGCAGTAGCAGCATTTCTTTTTAGTTCATTTTTCCATCCAGCCGGCATAACAGCTAAAGCTCACACACACACACACACACTTCGGTGCATAAACCGATGCACATAAAAAACCCATTGCAAACAAATTTCAACTAAAAGAGAAAGTTTCCTTTGAGTCGTCAGCATCAGCATCGCCATCGTCACAGTTGATATCATCATCTGGCAGACAGGCAATAGCCTTTAGTAAAAGTAAAAAGGGAGGGAATTTTGGCAAAGGGCTTGAGGTATGAATAACTATATACCTATATTTGCATATAAAGATCAGGCCCTCATTTGATTATTTCCGGGATTTCCTATTATTGGTCCATAAATACCTATTTTTGCCTTCAAAAATAGGCCTTAATGTCTAAAAATTTTTCTTCCTATGGATATTTATTTTAGTCTCCTATCGAGAGTTCCTTTTGGGGGCCTGTGAAGACCCCGTCCCAGAGGTATGTGAAGACAACCTCCAGACGGTCTGTAAAGATTCCCTCTAGGACTATAAAAACACTCTGAAGGTCATTTCAAAA